TTGTCTCTCCCGACTCGAGGTGGTCGAGGTCCGGCAGCTCGAGCTCGGCAGCACGCTTTTTCAGGCGTGCTCCAGCTGACAGTTTCTCAAACTTCGTCTCCTCAGCCTTCGGCTCCTCAGCCTTCGGCTCCTCAGCCTTCGGCTCCTCAGCCTTTGGCTCCTCAGTCTTTGGCTCAGCAGACACTGGCTTGGCAGGCTTTGCACCACACTGGTCCTCGACCCCCTCCGGCTGGGCCGTTTTCGGTTCTTCACCCTTCTTCTTCTTCGAGGGGGCCTTCTTAGGCTTGGCCTCGCTCTTCGCCTTGGCCTTCGCCTTGGCCTTGTCCTTCGCCGTGGCCTTCGCCTTCGGCTTGGGCGGGGCAGCCTTGGCCTTGGGTGCCCTATCTTCGCTCATCTCGACTCTTTCAGGAGCAGTGTCTGCTTCTGCCTTGGGCTCGGCCCTTTCTGAAGCTAGCTGCTGAGCAGCGAAAGCGAGGGCAAGGACACTTTGCTTGGCCATGGCTCTCCACGGCACGCGCTACCTGACACTCAGAGCCCAAAAAGCTATCGGATTTCTTTACCCGCCCTGCCCCCCCCTCCCCCCCCACCCCGCCCGGACATGACATGAACCTCAAAACCAGCACCCGGTTCAACATCGCAGCATGGAAAATGTGGATTTATACTATATTCAGGAGTTAAAAATAGCTATTTTTAGATAAATTTTAACTACAAAAATTAACTAATAGTTAAATTTAAACTTGACTATAGTTTGGCAGTAAATAGTCTAAGCGGAGCCTCGGGGTAGCTTAGAATCAGGGTGCACACACACACGCACCCACACACACACACACACACCCACACACACCCACACACACACACACACACAGTGTACACGACACACAAACACCGACCACAGACACCCCCCCACACGAAAGACGCACGCACGCCCGCACGCACGCCACGCGCGCACGCACGCACGGCACGCACGCCACGCACGCACGCACGCCACGACCGCACGCCGCACGCACGTGGACGCAGAAGCAGCGACAGACACGCACAGCACGACACGCACGCACGCACGCACGCACGCACCACGGCACGCACGGCACGGCACGCACGCCCGCACGCACGCGCACGCACGCACGCACGCACGCACGCACGCCGCACGCACGCACGCCAACGCACGCACGCACGCACGCACGCACGCACGCACGCACGCACGCACGCACGCACGCACGCACCGCACGCACGCACGCACGCACGCACGCACGCACGCACGCCGCACGCACGCACGCACGCACGCACGCACGCACGCACGCACGCACGCACGCACGCACGCACGCAGCACGCACGCACGCACGCACGCACGCACGCACGCACGCACGCACGCACGCACGCACGCACGCACGCACGCACGCACGCACGCACGCACGCACGCACGCACGCACGCACGCACGCACGCACGCACGCACGCACGCACGCACGCAGCACGCACGCACGCACGCACGCACGCACGCACGCACGCACGCACGCACGCACGCACGCACGCACGCACGCACGCACGCACGCACGCACGCACGCACGCACGCACGCACGCACGCACGCACGCACGCACGCACGCACGCACGCACGCACGCACGCACGCACGCACGCACGCACGCACGCACGCACGCACGCACGCACGCACGCACGCACGCACGCACGCACGCACGCACGCACGCACGCACGCACGCACGCACGCACGCACGCACGCACGCACGCACGCACGCACGCACGCACGCACGCACGCACGCACGCACGCACGCACGCACGCACGCACGCACGCACGCACGCACGCACGCACGCACGCACGCACGCACGCACGCACGCACGCACGCACACACGCACGCACGCACGCACCCACTCACGCACCACGCACGCACGCACGCACGCACGCACGCACGCACGCACGCACGCACTCACGCACGCAACGCACGCACGCACGCACGCACGCACGCACGCACGCACGCACGCACGCACTCACGCACGCTCACGCACGCACGCACGCACGCACGCACGCACGCACGCACGCACGCACGCCGCACGCACGCACACGCACCACGCACGCACACACAACACACCACGCACACACCACGCACACACACACACCCACCACACCACCCACACACACACGCACACGCACACACACACACACGCACACACACACACCACACACACACCCACACACACACACACACACACACCCACACACACACACACACACACACACACACACACACACACACACACACACACACACACACACACACCACACCACACACACACACACACACACACCACACACACACACACACACACACACACACACACACACACACACACACACACACACACACACACACACACACACACACACGCACCCCCGCACCACGCACCACGCCACACGCACGCACGCACGCACGCACGCACGCACGCACGCACGCACGCACGCACGCACGCACGCACGCACGCACGCACGCACGCACGCACGCACGCCGCACGCACGCACGCACGCACGCACGCACGCACGCACGCACGCACGCACGCACGCACGCACGCACGCACGCACGCAACGCACGCACGCACGCACGGCACGCACGGAACGCACGCACGCAGGCCCGCGGGCGGCGCGCGCACGCCCGCGCGCACACGCCACGCGCACCACGCACGAGCACACGCCGCGCACAAGCTACGCGCCACACGCGACGCGCACACGCACGCGCACCGCAAGCGCACAAACGCACGCGCACACGCACGCGCACACGCACGCGCACAAGCACGCGCACACGCACGCGCACCATGCACGCGCACACGCACGCGCACACGCACGCTGCACCAAAGCACGCGCACACGCACGCGCACAAGAACGCGCCAGACGCACGCGCGGCACGAACCGCGAACCAAGGCACGGCGCACGCACGCGCACACGCACGCGCACAAGCACGCGCAAACGCAAGCGAACACGCACACGCACACGCAAACGCACACGTCACGCAAGCACGCACACCCACACCCAAACCGCCCGCGCACGAACGCACGAACGCATGCAAGCAGCACGGCACCGCCCCGCGCACACGCACGCTAGCACGGCCGCATGAGCACATGAAGCGCCACCAGCACGCGCACACGCACACGCACGCACGCACGCAAGCAGCACGCACGCAAACGCGCAACCACCACCCACAGCCCGCAACGCGACACGCACACGCACGCATGCACGCACGCACGCGCAACACGCCCGAGCACAAGCACGCACACGCACGCACGCACGCACGCACACCCACACCCACACCCACACGCGCACACGCACACGCACACGCACACGCACACGCACACCCACACCCACACGCACACGCACACGCGCACGCGCACGCGCACGCGCACGCGCACGCGCACGCGCACGCGCGCAGACGCGCACACACGCGCACACACGCATACACTATGTGACACCCGGGGCCAGTCGATGGTTGCTTGCCTCCAATGCCCCTCCAAAACAAAACCGACTACCATCCCCACGCTTTTCCGTACGCTCTTATTCTGCCCAGCTTGGCCTGGGAGGAGAAAATGCTGGACATCATTCAGACTGCCTTTGGAGACCTGTTGAAGTTCAACGACGCAGTGAAGGCCATTCTTGACGACATCCAGTGGTCCAGCGTCTTCGAAGAAGACCGTCGCTCGGCAAATTACCGAGTATGAACGTTTAACCTTGGTGCTGCAAGAGTTCACTGTCGTTCTCTGGTTGATGCGTTGATGCGTCTGAAGTTCCAAGAGCTCCGCTTCGAAGCGCTGCATTGCCTCATGTTGCCTCAAGGTCAGTGGAAGGATCCATTTTCGGATGTGCCTGCGGACAGCCCTGTACCTTCCGTGCACAACACCCGCAACACCCGCAAGTGGCGTTGGCCGTGAGTGTGCACGAGCCACCACTGTGGGCCAGATTTATTGAAGCCAGCATGAACAGACCAACAAACTGTAAGCCAACATAAGCCAACACTGTACTTTCAGTGGAAGTGGTGTAATGGAGCGTGCACCGAGTCCGGCCTCGAGCAGTCTCGTAAGAAGTTGTACAGGCACGGGCACCATGCATGTTGCAGGCGTTTTGCTTCGGCGCGTGACCCCTGCCACGCCATTCCCAGGCACCGCACAAGTCTTTTAATTGTCTGAGTGGGATGGCGGGAGCGCGCAGAATTCGAAGCCAGATTATGGACTCTTAACAGACTCTCTTATAGGCTGACCAGAACGCCAAAAATTTGCAGCCTGAAGTTGGTTCGTCGGGAGATGGGTTAAACCACTTCTGGCGCAAGCTAGGGCTGTTTGTACACCTTGCTCTGCTCCGTCCTGAAAGGCACTGAACGGCAAAATCCCAAATCCGTTTCCAATCACTATTTCATTCTGCACGCTATTCCCCAAACAAGGCATCCAGAGACTTCAGGACCCTGAGCTAGGTGGAGCACAGGAATGTTGAATTCTAGTTAGGTGCTCTTCATCCATCCGACTGGGTGAGTGTTTCGCAGCAGATTTCAGCCTGCTTGCCCGAAGTGGGTGAGCACGGATGCTTATTATCTAACAGAAGGAAGGCACAGAGGTGGATCAATTCATGGGTCATCTGCTGGCACTGCTATCACGGCACTCGGTACACCTTTTGTCTTGTACCTTTTTTGTTCTGTGCCCCCTGTGCCAAGCAGCTGGCCAGCACAGAGCTTGACATCACTGTGAAGGATTGCTGTCGCCTACACAAACTAATGGCTTCCGGGTGGTACGCCATTAAGATTGCAGGACAATTGGATAGTTGCAGCGCTGGCAATCTTTAGGTGATTTTCGGTGCTTTCACCAACGAATTGAAGAAGCCCGTGGGGGCTTTGGAAACCCTCGAACAGCATGCAGCATGACCCTACAAAAGCCTGGCTCCGGGAAGGGTTGCACGATGTTGCACGTGAAATGTTCACCCCTCTGGGCTCTGCGAAGCTCTGCGCATGTTCGCGCAGGTCTCTGATGCGCCCAGCGTACCAAGTTGGAGCCGTGCAGCGGCCCGCCTTCCCCAATTTGGAGAGTGCGAACGTTGCAAGCGAAGTCGCCGCTTCTTTCTTGCTTTCATCGAGTCCCAGCATCTGCGACACGTCGTGATATCTCGATTGTTTGTCCTCCGGAAGGTGCAGACTCCGACGCCCTCGCGCCAAATAGATTCAGGCTCGGTTTCAGGTTGTCTCAACGTGATCTGTAATTTACGCTGTGCTCGCGGAAGTCCACACCGCGTGTAGCATGCTGGTATGCCCCGAAATGCCACGACGCATGCACGGGATTGGCTGCACTGATATATACCTTGCACGTTATCATCGTTGGGGCATGGATGCTATGACCAAGGGATGCAGTGGCAGCATGGCCGTCAAGTATCAGAAAAACACAATTATACATAGCATATATATACATATATATATGTATATGTATGCTAACCCCCCTTCACGTTTTCAATTTTATACCAACAATATTCATTGAATTCCATGAACTGACATGGTTAATAATGCTGCATGGACAGTACAGCGTTTTCTGCACCTGAAGGGCCTGAAGTGCTGTAATGTCCCAATCTTGTTGGTTCCAGTCGTGCAAAAACGCTGGACGTTCCCAGAAAACTCCAAAAAATCTTTTCTGGGTCTCCGGAGGCACAGAGTTTGGGACAGTACAGCATGTTTGCACCTTCGTCCCCAAAAAGATTGGGACAGCACAGCGTTTTTGCACATCCGTCCCCAACAACTTCGGATAGTACTGTGTTTTCTGCACCTGAAGGGGCTGAAGTGCCGTACTGTGGAGAGTACAGCAACAAAAAGCTCATCTAGGCCCAAGACATTGGGACAGTACAGAGTTTTCTGCACCTGAAGGGCTTGAAGTGCTGCACTGTCCCAATCTTTTTGGTTCCAGTCGTGCAAACACTGTACTGTCCCAAGCTTTGTGGTCTCCAATTCTGGAGACCCTGAAAAGATTTGTTTTTGGAGCTTCTTGGGACAGTACCGCGGTCTTTGCTCTTTCCTTTGGGTTCCAGTCGTGCAAAAACGCTGTACTGTCCCAATAATTTTGGTTCCTGTTGCTCTCAGAGGGGGTTTAAATCCCAAACCCCTTACCCCTCAAGCTACATCCCTGGCTGCCGCCGGCTGCGACGAGCAACAGCAACAACAGCAACAACAACCGAACAAGCAAACGCACAAACACACACGCACACGAACACAAACACGAACACAAACAGCAACATCAACATCAACAGCAACAGCAACAGCAGCAGCCGCAAGCGGCCAGCGGCCAGCGGCCAGCGGCAAGCGGCCAGCGGCCAGCGGCAAGCGGCAAGCGGCACAGGGCACGGCGAACAGGGAGCAGCGATTAGTGAGCCGCGAGCCGCGAATCGTGAACCGCGAAGCGCGACCGGCGGCGACGGCGACAGCGATGGCGACGAGGACGGGGACGGGGACGAGGACGGGGACGGGGACAGGGACGGGGAGGAGGACGGGGAAGCGGACGTGGACGCGGACGCGGACGGGGACGACGACGACGGCGATGACGACGACGACGAAACGGAAAGGAGATCAAGGTTGCAAAGTCCTGAACCACGAAAGGAGCACTTCGAACGATGGGAGGCCACACAGCACTCGTACTCTTTTTCTGGCTGCAGGAGCTTGGACTAAGGCGTCCGGAGCCCGAGCTGAGTCCCGGTGAAGGGCCACTGCCAGAAGGGGATCCACTTTGCTGTCGCTTCGGTTTCCTAGACTTGCCAAGGCCTTCTGCAGGTCTGTCTTCTTCGTCGGGCGTCTCTCCGTGGCTTTCCCCGAAAGCCGAGGATGTGCTCATGTACTGCTGTCATCTGTCAACTTGCCCATTTTGGCTGCTTTATGACAAACTAGTCACGGCAGCTCGATCGGGATTTGCAGCCTTGCTTGAGCTCCGAGTGTTCCCGGGTCGCGAAAACCCTTTTATTGAACTGAAGAAGTGTCAACTTTGCAAAATCTTGCAGGACTTGCCATGCCCTTTCCAGCCTCCCGATGTGTTGGGAGCCCAGCCAACCCAGCACTTATTGATGTGCAATGCTCGGTGCTGAAAGCTCAGGCTGGCCAGCTCAGGCTCGAAGGCCCTTTGTGTTCTGCCATTGAGTCTACAATACCTGTACAGTGACACAGGGCAGTGCAACGACAACCGCTGTCTTTTTGTCGGTAATGACCTTCTGGGCTTTGCGGCTTTCTCACAGCAGCATCTACCTGCCCAGGGTTGATGCCCCGCGGAGCTGGACACCTCATGAAGTATTGCAGCCATCTATTTCGCAGCAAATGATCCATTTTGCAGGCCTTCTGGGAAATTCGATTTTTGCCTCGCGAGGCCGTGCACCGGTAAGGTCGAGACCCTGTGGCCCTCCAGCATAGGAATGCCGAGTCATATCCAGGATTCTAATGGTGCTATGCCCCTGACTGAAAGATGAGCTTGAATGCTGTGGAGCTCCAAGGTGCTTGACATCGCTTGACAATTAGCTTAGACCAATCTTCGTGTCAAAGCTTCTGAAGGGGCTCACGGGCTCACGTCCCCTAAGTCCTCCAGAGCCATCAACTTATATGCTTCACTGCGGATTGGTCTGGGTCCTGGTTTGCCCAGTCACATCCATGGCGGTGCCAACAAAAGGCTGGTGCTTCCATGTGAGGCTCAGTAGGAGGGCCTTCAGGAGGAACAGACCCTCTATGGTGTTCAGGATGTGCTCGATTTTTGGGCCCTGTTGTTTCAGCGTGGGGTTGAGAGTTTTGGGAGTTTTGGGGTCTACGTCGGGTGACTCGGCCCGATGTCCTTCTGTGTGGCCAATGTTGGTGTTCGAGCTTTAACGAGCACCCAACATGCAAACATGCTGGTATTTCTGAAGACTCCCCGTGCTGTCTTGGCAATGCATCAATAGTACTAAGACATCACTGAAATTAAAGATGCGGGAAGTCTCTTCTGAGATTCTGGTCGCAGTAAGCTACCGCCGACTTCGCGTCATGGCGGCTGAAATTGGCAGCGGGGAGCGAATGGGAAGCGCATTGGCAGCGAGCAAGAAACCGCCTGTTGCCAATGCTCTTGTCAACGAAACAGCAAAATTTCAGAACTTGGTTTCAGTTCGTGAAGTTGGCTTCCCAAGCGTAGAGCACAAGTGGCGTTCTCGTCATCCGAGTTTCAGTCCCGCAAGTCTATGGGTCGAAGGCATATGTGGCATAAGCACGGCAGTGCTATGCTTTTGTGTTCCATGCCGTCCTAGCAACCTGCAGTCGCTTGCCTGATCAGCTGATGCGGGTCTGGCCAAACTCCGACAGTTCAGCTGCTCGAATTGCCATTAATGAACCCGTCCATGCACAAAAAGAGGGCCCAAAGCGTAGAGTGCTCGTTACTCCCTGTGCAGGTATTGACTGGAGAGGGAGGTTCCCTGAAGCCGGAGATCTACTGCCTCGGTATTCCACTGACACTTGTCGTACTCATGCATACCCAAAGCTGGAGGAACTTGTGTTGCTCAAAGCCCGCAGCGCCTTGCAAAGTATTGGCTCAAGGGTAGAGCTGTTCGCTTCTTCCCACAATCATGGGAAGACGGCAAGCAGGTCGGCTCCGCAGTGTGCGAATGGTTTCTGGCAGCCATCTGCTAGCAATCGACAGCTTCTTGACCAGACGAGCAAGATAACTTAGTGGACTTAGACTAAGTCCACTAATAGTGGACTTAGCAACTGCCGAAGCGACTAGCGGAGCAACTCTGCTCGCTGCAAAATCTTAGGCAGGTAGAGCAGTATCTGCATTGCCAGGTCATGTCAGATCGAACTGGTAATGCGGTTCCGGCATGAGCCCAAGACTAGGGCTACGCCCACGGCCAGGCAGCAATTGCGTGTTGCGGCAGAATTGGCAGCTTTTTGCTCAGATCCTTCCCCGGATCTCGGGCGAGTCTTTCACTCGAGCACCGCCTTTCCCCGTGGCTTGGCTGACTGGGGGATTAGCAGGCCATGCAGACAGCATCTGCCCACTCTTATCGCTCATGCTCAGGGTGTCACTGATTGCCACTGCTCACCGTGCAGTTCTCGATCAGGTTCTTCCTGAGTCGGGCAGGGGGGTCTCGACCTCGGTCACAGAATTGTCTATTCTGGAAAGTCGTTCTTTCCACAGAGCTAAATCGATGGTGGAGCTTAGCCTTCTGGGGAGTCCCAACCATGATTCAATGGTTCCTGATGTCGCAGGACAGGCCCATGAGCCGTAAGCAAGCTGCATTCAGTTTACGTCGCTGCGACAACAGAGCTCATTGCCGCAGGCATCGAAGGAGTCGAGAAGCCTGCCATGGCTCGATGCCACCTGCCCAGTTCCATCAGTTCGTGTCAGGCCACAGCCTTCTCAGTCTTGCCCTGCTTCCTGCTGCATGTGAGACATGTCCGCGTGAGTTTATAGCAGCGTGCCTCACATACATGGCCTTCTCGCAGTGCAGTTCTGCTTAGCCGCTGAATCCAATGCAAGGGTACATGGAGACAGTGTTGCAACTATCCGGAGCCGCAGCTTGATAGCTTTGTGAGGCATCTGACCGACAGAGCCTCGCATCCCTTACATTCAAGAAATAGACCTTTCCTGTCCAATCAATGGAATCCCTGAGTAACGGTTCGTCCTGAATCACCATGGATACCAGCCTGTCTTCCCATGCCTGGACTGCGCTACAGATGGAAGAGGACGCTTCGATGCAGATACGAAGTCAGTTTTGGAGCATCTTGGAGCTAGTTAGGTAAGGCTGACATTACACATTACAGTGTTCAGCCTCTGCGCTCGGCCCATCTCAATTGTGAAGCTGACTGTGTAACTAAGTTTGGGGGGGGGGGGGGTAAATTCAGAGAATGGCAGACGCCGAAGATCGTGATGTACCATCGGGCAGCTCGCTGCTGCCAAACCATCCCAAAGAAACCAAAAGAAATCTTTAGCTCAAATCAGCAGATGAGGACCTTAGTTGCTCATCACTCCCACTGCACGGCACGGCCGCGCAAGAACAGCAATCGTTCGGAGCGTAGCTAAGCCTGGTACAGTGCCCAGGCCTGTAGCAGCGAGCAGCTTGCTGTAAACAGCGCAGAACACACTCTTCAACAACAAGTTACCAAGTGTGCTCATATGTACCTTGTAAAGAGAGACCTTAAAGGCCGTCAGGACCAGCTGGACCGGGAGGCACCGAGCCAACTGTTCCGTTCTGGGTATGAAACACGTGGCAAATGCAGCATCACAGCCACTGTACAAACTGAACGTGATTGTAAATTCGCCTGCGCAGTAACGAACAATCACACGAGCTGGTTGAAGGGATGCATGGTGAAGGCGTGGTGGCAGGAGCATATGGTTCAAGAATAGCCTGGCACCAATGATTTGCCTTACTGGCAAACTGCCAATCGACCTCCCAGGCCAAGCAGAAGGGGAGCCACCCAACAGCTGCAGCGCCAGTAGGCTGCGGATGCTGAGGCCACGCCAAGAGATGCGACCACGTGGCGGATGTCATAACAATGACACAGTTGGGCCCCAAGCCACCAACCAATTATTTTCCAGGTGAAGAAAGGAACCGCAGTAGAACTTCCCAATCGCAATCTACATCATGAAGACAAGCTTGTCTTGTCACAAGTCACGGCGGCGCAGTCATGGCGCCAGTTGGCAGGCAATTCTGCACCCCTTCCCTACAGGGCAGCAGTCTGAAGGCTGCAAGACCTGCAATGCTCGGGCCTTGTACTTCGGCCTTCCATGTGTGCACCTGAGGCGACAGTGTCTGCCGTACTTGTCACGTGGCGGCATCACTCTTCACTGATCACTGCTCGTCGCTTTCGGTTCCACAGCTGAAGTGGGCATGATGAAGTCAAACCCCCCAGCGCACGTCAGGCACTGCTCCCCCCGTGGGCAACTGCCACGTTGGCCTTCAGCACTTTTGTGACCGATGCTGGGCGGGACTGTAAAAATGTCAGTCCAATTTTAGCATGTATAGTTGCAGTCATCCCGTCTGAGTAGCTGCAGATAGAGCTGTCGCATGCGAACGACCTGGCACTCCGCAGCTAAACTGTGCTGAGCCAGTCGACTCAACATGCAAGGCTTTCGCCATTGTGGCTTCTACACAGGCCTGCTGCTTGTTGCTTGGACGTGGCTTGGACTCTGCGCCGTTTCCGCGAAACGGAGGCGCTGTTGACCTGGGATACCATCCACTGGCCATGGTCCAGGGTGCTGCAGCGGAAGGGTGAGCTGCCCTCTCTCCGTGCTGGGCGCCGAGATGGCCACGGGCCACGGGCCATTGGCCATAGCTCGCTTGTAGCTTGTGACATCTGATGACTTCTGTACTCTTTGGCACAGTTGCGCATCAAAGGACCCTGGCACGGAGGCTTACAGCAGACTACAGCAGCTCAGCTTGTCAGCGGGCACTCTGTTGATGATGGGTTGAGAGTCGTGGGAACGTCAGCTGGCAAAAGCCTTGGCTTCGAGTAGAGGGGGTGCACCCAGCAGTTCCCAAACAGCGTGGCAATATGTGGCAACATTTGTTTGGGGTTGGGAGAGCGAGGAGGGCCTGGTTGGTTGAGCTGCGTCTTCAGACACGTGACGGCGCCGTTGCGATCCCACTTCTCTCTCCCGTGCACTTCTTCAGACTGTACCGTTGTATCATCGCTCACTGGGTTGTTTGGAGACCCCAGAGTGGTCATCCTCTGGGAGCGGACTCTTTGCCGGGATTTCTGAGATTGGAAATGCTTACTCGGGTTGGCGCTCCAGGGATGAATTCATGGGAACCACGGACTCTTTGGCGAGGGACTCTGTTCGGGATGCTCGGCGGGGCGCTCTGACTTCCTCTGTTGGGGTGTGGGCAGTCCAAATTCAGGGATCTTTGGCGGCGGGTGGCCCAGGGACCAAGGGGCCAGGGACCGGGTCACTTGAAAAATGACTAAGACTAACAACCCCACCGCGAATTGGCAATAATTTGTTGCTTTGTGTTTAGATTGTGGGAAGTGCGACCGGATCCAGGAGCAAGGATCTTCGCCGCCACCTGGCCGAACTGGAAACAGCCCTGACTTGACGCAATGTTCTTCTATGCTTTCGCTCAGCATCTCAGAGCTGGGAGAACTGAGGCCGTGAGGATTGCTTGCTCAAGAGGTTCCAGTCGCTGCTGGATCACCCCCAGGTTGATGACTCTTAGCATGCCCCAGCTTTGTGTCACTTGGGACGGTGGGCTTGTTGCATTTCAGTGCTTACCTGGCCATAGATGCCCCTAGACTTTCTCAGGAGAATGCTCCATGGGCTGAACACGCCGAGCAGTTGCGAACACTTCTCAGAGGCCAAGAGTAGTTCGTGACCTTCTGTAACCGTGTTCAGCGTGTATGCCATTTCTACACCTGGTGTGGTTGCATATCGTTGCATGCTTCATTGCTGCAGGTGGGTATCTGAGCCTGGACAGCATTACTACCCGCCCGCGGCTCAGATGGTTCAGAGCGCTTCGTGCGTCTACTGCGCTTTTGTGTCATTATGAGTCTTGGTGTTTCTTTGTGTCTTCCGAATTTGGCTTGTGAAGTAATGTGTGTCTTCTGAATTTGGCTTGTGAAGTAATGTGTGTAATGTACAGATATGTACGGTGTATCCTCAAGACTGCGGGTCGGGTAGGTTTCTAGTCCACTTCTCCCATTCTGCGACCTTGTCCTTCTTAAGGAGAGGGCATGCTGGATTTCTTCGCCAGTCACCGTGTTATGGCGCGACAGGACAACCGTGCTACCAGCGTGCCACCGAGTGCCTCTCCAGAGAGAGTGAGAGAAAGTACTCGAGATTCAGTTGTTTCAGGAGTGCCTCTCATGCTGCTTGGGCATCCGCATGACAGCATCCCGGCAGCATGTCGAAATTTCGACTCCCAGGCTCCCTTTCAGACTGACATGCGACGACATGTGAACACAGAAGCCCCGTGACAGAGACAGAGGTGCACTACAACTTGTTTTGCGGAACAATCCTTGCCCTGGGGAGTGATGAGCAGAGATGTGCCCAGGCTGCACGCGTATGCGTAAAATGAAACTGTAGATGTAGAAGGATTTCGAGTGCTTCCGGCAATTTCTTTCATCGAAGTTCTGAGGTTGGCTGCAGGATGCCCAAAGTGCTGGACTGCTGGGCTGTTTCATGCTCACAGAGACTGGTGCAGGCAAAGAATGGCAAAGAAACGCTTTAAGCCGGCTTAAGCCGCTCTGGGCAACTTCTTCCAGTTCATCTGGAGGTGTCCTCAGCGGTTTGGTTGTGGAGACGGTGGCCAAGTGGGTTTGGCTTGACGATGAGGGACGAGGCCAGGACAACCTATCTGAGCAATCTGTCCTCAGCCTGTGGATCTGCCTAACCGCACTTGGTCTACGTTCTTCCCAAAAAGCGGTGCTGGGCATTAGAGTGGTGAAGTGTGTCAGAGTGTGTCGAGATGATGTGAACGTACGAACTTCTTCTCCTTGGAGGAGGCTTCGAGTTGCACACCCCCACCCCCTCGGCGGAGAAGACCTGGACCTGGTCTCAGTGTGGCATCATTAGGAATCTCTGGTCACAAGTAAGGCAAGTAAGGGCATCACGCTCCATTCCACCCAGCCGCATTCCTAGGGCTCCTCGGGTACACCGCAACAACCCGCCATCTAAGAATCCGCGCCTGCAAACTTGTTCAGTCCTTCACCTAGCATTTTTGCAGGGATTCTCTGCAAAATTCTCTGCGCAGTCATCGGAAGTCAGGCACCGCGGAGAATCCAGATGCATACGGTGACCGTCAAATCGCTCAGTTTTCAGGATGCTGTTGCTCTTTTTCGTTGAACAATCAGGAGTCGGGTTGCTCTCTTGATTTGTCGGCATACAGCGCAGCGTCTGTTTCACCACGGCCTCAACCCTAAGCCTACACCGCAAACCCAAAGTCGTGGTGACCCAAGCCCAGACCCCCAAAGCTTCTTAAGGGCCCGTAGACACTGAAGCCCAACCTAGAGGACCTAGACCCTTAATTGTAGTTCCTTCTTTGGGAGACCTGATGCTGTGCTTCTCTTGTTTTTTTGGGCTCTGTATATGGTTACTCTCTCATCACCTCAGGGTGTGAGCTAACTAGGCCCTGATTGGACTGCATTGCTGTTTTGCTTTGTATTATTTTCTCAGGTCCAGGTTACGGCGAAAGTCGCCGCTAAATATCTGGACCTGAACTTTGCAAGCCCATTGCTGCTCTTGGTGCCCAGGGGCGTTGAAGCATCCTTCTTGTGCCCGAGGATCTCGCAGGGATTGGCCGCCGACTATGGGCTTGTAGTTGCTCAACTCGTCACTGACCAGAGGCCCGGAGCTGCAGTGGTCACAGTGGTCACATTCTTTGTCTTGCCTTGCATGACCTCGTTTCATTTGGTGAAGGGTGAGTGAACCGCGGCTTCCAGGTCTCTGGGTGCCCACGTCTTCCTCGTAGCGCCTCGGCAGATCTGATCAATCTCAACCTACACCTACAAGTCTGCAAAGTCGCAACGCAAGACAATCAGAGTTTGCAGCGAGTGCCCTCCGAAGGACATGCGGTCCGCAGGAATCTCGCGAGAATGCATGGGAGAGAAGACGACCTTCAATGCGCTTGACAATGCTCGAGTGTCTTGCGCTCAGTCGAGGCCCAGGCGTTGCGGCCTTCCCATGATCTGGCGACATCCCCCATCAGATGCAGCTTTCGTCAGCATCCCACCCAGCCCCTGTTCTGAGGTCTTTTAATCATGTGCAGCTTCCTGCGACGGCCCTGCTGTCAAAGCTCTGCAATGTACAGTCACGCTGGAGTGGACAAAGCTGGGAGGCGGAGTATGTTTTCGCAGGCCAGCCTTGAGGGCTCTAAACTCTAGTCCGTGCAGCAGCTCTGTGCTCACGTCTTGTATTGCGTGCAAGCATCCACAAAGCATCCACATGACAGGCAGTCGGCCTCCGACTTTCATTCAGATTGCCCAGCGCTTGCTGTCTGGGCGCATGTGCATTTCTGACTCAGATGCCTGGCTCGCACTTGTTCAGGAGGTATTCCGATGAACGACTGCTGGCTAGCCTTCAACTCCATCAGCCTGTCACGAGAATGTCGAATGGAATGCCAAATCATGAATCATGAAGTATGCTCTGAACAAATTGAATGCCATCGACGAAAGGCATGGTTTGGGGTTCAGCGTTTGAAGCCAGCCAATCAAGATTTTGATGCTGAAAGTTGTCGAAGATCCAAGGCGATCACCTACTTAGAGGGTGTCCTGGGAGTGACGAAGAACTATGCGGAGGGTCGCCTGGTGTGGGTGGACAAGGACTGAAACGGAAGGTGGGACAAATCAAGTGATTGCGCAGAACATCGCAACATCACTAGGAGCGAAAGATGCCCTTGGCAGACTTACCCTACATGGCGAAAGGCTTGGAGAGTGTGGAGGCCGTGCTGCTGTCTGTAGCCTCGCAAATAGCTAGGCAACCAGAATCAGTGGATTTATTTAGTGTGAATCCTTCTGTCCAGCAGCGAACAAGCGCAGTCTGTACTCGCTGCCGCCTCTTGCTGTTCTTTGTGGTGGTGGTGGTGGTGGTGGTGGTGGTGGTTCTGATCCTTGCTGCCGCTTGTGTCACTGCTGTCGTCGTTGTCGTTGCCATGGTTGTGATTGTGTCTTGTGATTTTGCTCTTGTTGCTCTTTTTGGCAAGGTGGGCCTCGCAGTCCACAAGGCACTCAGCTATGGGCTTGCGGAGGGCTGGCTGGGAGAAACCGACCAGATGCGGGGATTTCTGAGGGGCATTCTCAAGTTGTGAGCATTGCCTGCATTTGCAGCTGCTTTGAAAGAGCGTCTCGAGGCCGTATCCTTCCCGCCCCGAAACCCAAAGAGCGCGGAAGGAGTGAGGACAAACAGCTTAAAGAGAATATGGCGCGGAGTAAAAACTGGAACCGTGAAACGGCAGGGGATGAGAGTGGACTAATGCTGTCATGAGCTGTGAGCTGGTGGGCCATGTACGAGGCTTTCCTGCTGCTCGTGCAAAGTGACTTTGCGAAGGTGGGCATGGAGCATAGAAATGTCATGAAATCTCAGAATCAGATGCTGTCTCTGTCCGAGTGTAGGCCATTGAGTCCAACTCGGAGCTCTCGCGCTCATTGGTAACGCAGATCGCCGCAGCAAAGGCCACCCAAGGAAGACTTCACACCACTCCCACCCTCTGGCACTGGTGAGCTGGTGGCCCCCTCCAGGTTGAGGCGGTCGACTTTGCAATCAAGTCCCTGGCGCTGCTGCGTCGGGATGTGGCCCGGCATCCCAAGCAAAACAGTTTCAATGTCAAAGGCACAGGCCAAGGACCAAGAGAGCATGGCTTCATATGGTTCATGTTGGGTTCATATATGGCTTCCTTTTTGACTTTACCTGTGTTCTTTTGGGCGGATCTTTTCTGCGTGTGGTCTCGGCCGACGGCGCAGGTCGGCTCCTTTGGCCTGATGGCCACCTCGCCGTTTGGGTCCAGCGACATTCTGCTGTGCCACCTGGCCGTACTCATGCCGACTGTCAGCGTGGATGTATGTGGTATGAACACTTAAAGAGAAAGGCACCTTCTCTCTCATCTCTCTTATCCAAGCCTCGGATCCTCACCAGGCTGTCGATTTGCCGAAGGAGACAGCCGGGTCTTGCAGCAAATGGTGACCCGGGACCTGGTGCGCGCTCACTCCAGGTTCTCGGAAGCTCGGCTCGAGTTTTGGATTTTTGATTCTGAAGATGCATAGAGTATAGAGTCTGGCATAGAGCATTTCTGCGTGCAGAGGCAGTGCTTCGGCTGTTCTGGAGAGTGCTCAAGGCCAGGGAGGGAAGCTGCAAACGCTCGGCCGTTGAGTCGTCACGCAATTGCCGAAACCCGAACCCTTAAACATGAAGCATGGCCGTAGAGGCCCGGTACACTTGCATGGGCCAGGGCGCAAGACGCCCGTAGATCGCTGCGTCCTGTTTCCTTCCGGTACTGTTTAGGATTGTTCCTGTTCAGTTTAGCACAGCACGGTCTTTTGCCGCTTCCGTTGAGCAGAGTCTGGCAGATCGAGGCGCTTACGTAAGTTGACGTGGGATCATCATGTGTCTGATTTTCCCGGCACGTGGGCCTTCGTTGATTTCCCGCCGAAGGCCTGGCTGTCAGGGGCGCCCCATGGCTCGGCCAAGCTCCGCTACCTCCGGGACCAGCGCCTGCTGCAGGCAGGAGGACCATGATGGACCTTGGCAAAGTGATCCAATGCTTTGCTTGTGAGGTGTAGTTGAGTCAAGAACTTGACTTGATGTCAGCTTCTCTGCGTCCTGGGCAAGCAGCACTGGAAGAACCGCCGCTGTGGAGTCTCGAAGGTCCTGGCAGAAGCTGGCAGTGCCCGAAGTGTTGAGGTATGTTGAGGTCCTGCCCAGTCACCAGCCCAAAATAGGCGTTGCGGTTGGTGGGTTGTGGGTATAGACACTGCATTCTTCGGTCGATCTTCCAGCCTAAAATACATGTCTCTAAAGCCCACCATGTTTGGGACACCGAGTGAGACTGTTCCGTTCCGTCTGTTCCAGGCTCAGGCGGAGAGCGATGCTTGGCTGCAGGCCGGTGAGCTCGTCTATGATGTGGCGACCCTTGGCTTTGCATCGAGCACTTGTCGGATATTGGAGTTGGCAGTGATTCGACATGGTGGTGGCGCACTGAGGGCAGCGCAATTGCATGATTTGGATGCAAATGGTGCGCGTCTACTTGCCCTTACTTGCCCTTACTTGCCCTTGCCAGCACTAATCGCAATCATTCAAAATTGGTCGGTGCCTCTCGAGGAAGACACATGCCCAGCAGCTCATCCACAGCACTGTGGAGGAAAGGTGTGGCAGGAGTGTCGAAACTGACAGGTTCATGGACATGTGCCTCGGCAAGCTGGGTTTTCTGTAGGTGCTTCGCATTAGGCAAAGGCTTGCCAATAAGGCCGCTCTTTTAGAACAAAGAGACACAGCCAAAAGCACATGAGTCCTGAACAGGGTAAGGTCACTCGGACTCCTTGTTGCAGCATTCTTGTTGAACAGGTCTGTGGTTCACGATCGGAGTTGTACTGCAACTTTTCGATGCATGCTTTTCTAGTCACACTTTGCTGTGCATGGCTGCCTGCAGTAAGGTGCATCAGTGACTGCCGCTTGGCCAAGCCAGAGTGACGGCTAACTGATAATTTGAGATCAGCACAATTTCCTTCACAACTTTCTGGAAGCCAGCCGACATGCCGTGCTAACGACCTGAGCGCAAGCCCTCCATCCTAAAGCCTCGTGTTAAGCGATGCATCACCTGCCATGTCAGGTGAGGCTCGCCATGTCTATTGAATCTGACCTCCCTGATCAGTGAGCCCAAAGAGGTTGGGGGGTCTCAAGATTCGATTCCGAGTCTTGCCGTCACAAGTACGGGATAATCCAATGCACACCGGCCATTCAAATACCGAAGCATTGCGACGCAGTGCCGAGATTTCTAGTTGTTTAACCCTGGAAGCCATGATTGAATCTAGCAGCTAGGGAATTTTCCAGCTCCGACCATGCCGAGTGCGACCGGTCTGCTGTGCTCACGGGCAAAGGGTTAGCGCCATCCATACTTACCTGCCAGCCAAATCGTAGAACCTATGGAAGCATCTTTGAACAAACGCTCTTCAAATGGTTGCCTCTTCAGCGTGTCAAAGTGTCCACAAAAGGCCTAGCGTCAGGTGTTTGCTATGCCATCTATGCGCTAAGGCCGACGCTGGTCCGCACTCTGCACGCTCAGGAGCTGAAGCCCGCAAGTCAAGCTCATGACAGTGCAGAACACAAACCTTGCTTGGAGGACGTACCGAGACCCGTCCGCACCTCGGGAAGTGCGATCCCTCGACAATGACCGTCAATGACCTGCTGCCTCCTGCGTTAGCGAAGCTCTGGTCGTCGCATGCATGGCGAGGTTTTGGATTTGCTTGGCTCCAGCCATTCGCGTGCCCGCATGCGTGGTGGTGTAGTCCCAAGGAATATTTTCGATCAAAGAGGCCATCATTCACCCGGTGTACCAGATACCGACATCACCCCGGCGTAAGTCTACGTATGCTCGCAGATGCATTTGTAGTCGAAGAGGTCTTGATTCAGAGTGTGGCGAGAGATGCCGGGAAAGCGTAGTGACACAGCGACGTCGAGTTTGTATGGCCACAATTGAAATGACATAAATGCGCGATGACGTGTTCTTGCTTTCGTGCCCTGCTGCTGGCCTGCTGCGCGGTGATTGGATGCCAGGAAGTGAGAGACACCAGACCATCAGCAGCAGCACCTTACATAGAGCCACAGTTCTGGAGGAGAAGTTGCGAACCATTGTCTCCGTGGATCTAGCCGGGCCGGGCTGTGCAGCAAACGTGCTCAGGATGTGCTCAGGCAACATGGCAGGGGCTGTTTTGTGCCGCAGGTTCTTCTTCCGCTTCGCAGCAATCCCTCCAAAGACGGCGCTGGCTGTGGCGTACCTCTTGCACGAGCCCAGTGTGGAGGCATCTTGTACAACGGTAATTTGATATGGCGATGGCCTGTACCGAGAATTTCTCACGATTAACGGTTTCTCAGCATGGCCTTGAGGTTCTGGCCCTCGCAGCTGGCTTCGGGGAAAGCAGGACCTGGCAAGGGCCTCTGTTCCCAGGCCTCAGAGTTTTCGCGTTTTGGCGTGAGTTCGCATCCAGCGCACATGGTCCCAGGTACCAGCAGCTGCTGCTGAGGCACCCTTGCAAAGCTTCTCGACTTCGTAGGCCGTCGGCCGCAGGCATTGCGAGCCACGCTGTGCACGCATCATTCCACGTTGCCTCCGACTGGAGCTTCGAGAACGCGAGTTGTTGCCACATACTGAGCGACTCATCCGAGGCGGCCGAAACGTTTCTGGCCGATCTCAAGCGGAAAGACGTGCCGGTTGTTGCTTGACGGAGGATTAACAGTTGTTATCTTCCAGCACTCCCCGAAACAGCAGATGGGGACCATGACATAGGAACGGACACATGTTTCCGGCCAGGTTTGCGGCTTGGCAGCAGGCAACTTCCTGCAGCGCAGCCCACTTGATGCGCTTGAGGAGCTGATGGCAGGCAGGGCGCGGGTTTGATGATGGTTTGACAATGGTTCACGGCGATGCCTAGGGCCAAGGGCTCTTAGATCCCAAGACAGCTGAGAACACCAGCGTTCTTGGGCGAGCACAGGAGGCAACGAGGCCGCATGGCTTGTGCTGGACTCGATGAAGCTTGCCTGCAAGCTGACCATCATGTCCCACTTGTATCGCAGGCTTTGTCACTCATGCGAACGGTAACTATCTGGAAGTTGGAGCCACGCGGCCCGGGCCATCTCTCCAGTCGAGACTGCGTGCAGAAACTTTCCCAACGGGCTCTTTAAAGTGATAGGACAGCAGCGGCTGCCGTGACACTGCCGTCGCTGAAGAGTTCGAGAAGGTCCTGCACAGGGTGGAGGGGAGTGTCCCTCAGTTTTCGAATGACATCTTTCGGCGCCAGCCGCCAGCTCCGACTGTCGGAGTCCGACATCTACTAGAAACTGTTGAACTCGCCACGAGGATATCCGAGTTCGTCTTCGCAGGGCCAGGGCTTCGCTGGTTTGGGGCCGAGCCCAGCGCCTTCGGAGCGGCAGGCCGGATATGGCCGGATATGGCCGGATATGGCCGGATGGAATAGCGGACCCTGTGTCCAGAAAGCATGAGAGAAAGCCAGTAGCCTGCCAGCAGCCTTTCGTTGCAACTGGCCCTGTATTCTTGTGTGTAACGTAACATCGGAAGTTCAAATGTCGACAGCTCGATGACGCAGTGCTGTACTCGTAGCTGCAAGTTGGCAAGTCGTGCCAGCGTGGTGGAAATCACTCCCGCGGGAGGATTGATGCTTCGTGGTTGGCAGGACTCCTTCACCGAGGCCTTTAGGGGGTCTGGGGTTTGCGCCGGCCTGAAATCGATGGCTCAGGGCTCGCAAGCATTCACGAGCCACGTCCGTTGCCAATGCTTTGGGTCGATGCGAGTCACTGCGTGTCGCGCGTCGCGAGCGTCATGTTGGCGGGGTCGCACGATCCTGCCTCCTCTGTCGAAAGTGCTGACAGGCTCGGGGATCGGGCGCATCACGATCACGATCCTTGTAATTAACTGCTGTCGTTTTGGAATCCTCAATTCGTCAGTCTTTGGCCGTCAATAGTGCTGGTAGTCATACACAATGAGGAGGCATGTGAATGTTGTACGACATGTTCCTGCCCTGAAAATCTCATTCTCAGAACAACGCTAAGAACTTTGGATTGCGACTGCCGACGGTTTTTTTTTTTGCATGGCCATGATGCTGGCGCAATCCCTCTCAACCCATCCGATGAATGCCCGAAGAACAACGAGACTTCCACCGACCATGGTTCGCGTAGCGCATGCGCTTTACAGGGATTATGGTGCTGCTTGGCAGCGATGGCCCGAAGTCGTCACAGAGCCTGACTGCGTACGCAACTTGCGGGGCACTTCGTATGTAAATGCCTACAAAGTCGTAGATCCCAACAGCAAGCAACACTGGCAACACTGTAACACGCTTCCTTGGCAGGCTGCGCCACGCTTGCGCTTGGTCCGCATGACCGGGAACTCAACGGTGCTTGACAAGGAGATGAAGAGATGTCGAGGCCTTGTGCTGGTTGCCATCGTCATGCTGCAACAATGGCAATGCACCGAATGTCGCTGTTGAAGGTTCCTGGATGACGCATCACTTTCTCAGGGGCCCGGCGAGGGAAGGGGGGGGGGGGGCGAGGGCAGATGTTGGTTTGGGTGTGCTGAGACCACTTTCGACAAAATGCTCGGCCCTGGCAGCTCCTGTCGTCACGACGATCCAGAAGCACATGTCTGTGATGTTTATGGCGTCCACATTGTCAACGACGGGCAGCTTCATGTCATCTTCCCTTCTAGGCGCGCCCCGCAGATAGTGCTAAGCCAATTCAAGCTGTTGGCATTGGCACTTGATGAATTCCTTGCTTTAGGCATTCTCAACCTTGTGTTCCCGCAGGCCAGATCGTTTTTTGGGGCAGGGGAGTTGCTCTCTCACCTTGTGCTTCATGAACTACCCCAACCCCCCGAAAACACAGGGCTTACACGCCTGAGAATACAGATCTTTCGTGCGGTCCTGGAGTTTCCAGACCCTGTAAGTCTTTAAGTCCGAAGCCGACTTGAGAAACTACAACGCGCATAACCAGAACATCCTTATAAAGTCTCAGGTCCCAATCCGAACAGCTCGGCATGCCAACAGCCTGTAAGAAGCTCCACACGGGTCCTTGCAACATCAATACCTGCACTCAAGATCAGCTTCTTCCCTCCACATTTAGACCTGAGCTCAAACCGCTGCTGCATACATCAGAGAGGATCAGGATGCACCACTCCTGGCTGCTGCCCTCGTGGCACAAGCGGAGGGCTGCGCAGCCGTGTCGCTGGGTGGACAGATTCAGGCGCTGTCTGCGCGCTCTGCTACTAGGTTCTTGAATCGTGCTGAGGGTGAAGTGGAGAACCGGCAGGTCTCACCAGAATCCTGCCGTCAAGAGAAAAGAGAGGCACCGCCCAACAGTGACTACACCAGTCGCATGTTTCTGTTTGGCTAGCAAAGCCGCTTGTGCTGATCTGCTGTTGTGCTTGCGCGTTGCCTGCACGCTACTTGCGCACTACTTGTGCACAGGATCCGCCTGACACACTTTATGTCAAGCTGCAGGACATGACGGTCCCATCCTCAGCGGACTTGTGACTATAAGGGTCCGATTTGCAGCCCGGCAATGTCAATATCCAGTTAATTGCTTTCGAGATGCAAACATGTGCGTAGGCAGCTTGCTTGTTTGCAAGGACACAAGTCACATCCGCGTCGTGGATACCCTGTGCGACGTCGCACTGCCCAAAGTGGCAGAGGAGCTCTGAGAGGAAAACAGGCTCGGAATGTGGCACACGAAGGAAGACTTTTCGAGCAACCGATCACTTGGAGTGTGGAGATTTGAGAGACGGGGTAGCGGAAGCTGTTGGTCCCTACCCTTGGTGTGGTGTTATCAGATTTTCAGTCTCCGTCCACTCCTTGCCCCTGTGTCCTGACCCCGTCTCCCGGCCTGGTCCCTGGAGTGCCTACCCTCCTTCACAGAAGCCCACAGAGTCCCGCCAAGCGGTTTTGAAGAGAGGCCCACAGAAAGTGCCGCCGAGTATTCCTGGAGTGCCCGCCCCTAGTATGCCTGGAATGCCCAAGCCCCAGAGAAGTTGCCCTGCCCCGGCAATTTCGCCGAGTATCCCTGGAGTGCCCAAAAGTCTCGCCAAGTATCTTCGGATTGTCAACCCCCAAAGAATCCAAGCGGAAGGTCCCTTCAAGTATCCCGCAGGAGTCCTTGGGCGAAGTATCCTGAAGTGTCCGAAAAGAGCAGGATGGCCCCCACATCGGCTAGCTGTAGGGTGCTGGTGATCGAAGCAAGTGATTTTTGTTTTGCTGTGGTCCGTCAGCTTCAGCTTGCTGCGAGCATGAGTTTGCAGATCTTCCAGTAAACTCCAGACTCCAAGACCAGAAGAGATACTTCGGGGCCGCCCAGTGCGGATTTCGACTCGCTTGGCCTGACCCTGTTGGGCAGGGGACAGACTAGGCAGAGCCAGCACGAGTGAGGGTAAGTGGCTGCTGGGACACTCGGCCGGACCGAGCTGCTTAGCAAGTCTTGGCAAGCCAGCTCCCATCAGCAGCAGTCCAACTTCGCGCAGCTGTCGAATGACAGACACAGGGAACTTTTTTTACAGGAGCACTCGTACTGGTTTGATATGGGAGCTCGAATGGGACTTCGAATGTTCATGCCCTCCGTGAGTTCCAAGGATTCAGTGCATCTCAGCGAACCGTGGACAGCGACAGGCCCCGTCCGGGCTACGTGATGGTCATGGCAAGATTGGAAAGACGGGATAATCTTCACAGATCAAGTGTTTAAGACTTCGCCGAGGATGCAACCCAGAGGCCTAACAGAAGTCTTCAGACAGGGACTGGAAGTAACAACGGAAGGCGCAAACCGTCGTCGTCTCCGCCAAATTCGCCCACTAGGCCCACTTGACACATTGCCGCCTGATGTGGAAATCTGTGTTCAGGTCGTGCAGAACTGCATGATTCTGACATTGCCGCATCAGCAAAAGCAAATGCCCGGCAGACTGTATGGATCTGGATGCATGACAGGTCGCAGCTGGCTCTATGGGAGAGCCAAACTGATGAGGAGTTCTCTGAGGCCGTGCGAAGATGCGATTCGCTGCATCAACATTGCCTGGACATCTGATAGCGCTCGTATTGTGCCGGCTCACAAGGCGCTGAAAGCGGTGAGACTCTGGTGGCAACCCGTAGAGGCCCGACCCCGCACCAGAACTGACCATTTCATTCTTCACTCTCAGATGTGCACGCGTGGTCTCAGCCAATTGGCATGCTCTGAAATCACAGGAGTCCATCCGCAGCCGTCGTGTGGATCTCTTGCAGGCACAGACAGCGTAGTTGCTTTGTAACTGTTGATTTCGGAAAGACCCCTGTCCGGCCCTCATGCAATTGTTGGTGTTTGTATACAACCCGCACTGGCACGGCTAGGTACAGGCTGGGGTCAGGGCTTTGGGAAGCGTTGGAAAGCTTTGCAATCACGTCGCAGGGCGCTCTCAAGGAGGCCCATGGCGAAAGCTACCTCAGGAGACCTTTTTGATGTGGGAAGGGAGAACTGGGAGAACCTGCGGAGAGCCTGAGATAAGAAAGGTAGAAGAAAGGCATAGAATGCGGAGGTGAGGCGTAAAAACTGAAGTGGGCCCAGAGATCGAGTTGGTCTTGCATATGCTCCCAGCATGGGAGGACGGTCTATGCGGTGAGACGCAGTGCAAGCCAGAAGCACAGAACCCTAAAGCTGCCTCGTCAGGTTCCAGGCGTAGGTATCTCAAGGACCCAGTGCTGATTGCATGGGTACTTGTAGCAGTCGAACCGTGCACAGACCCCCAGCACACGGTTCGCTCAGGCCTAGATCCTGAACACAGGCACTCGGTTGAGCCACTTCACTGCAATACGAAGGGTTCGATAAAGCAGCGCCTTGCTGTTTGGTGCAGCACGAGACTTCGACATTTGCGAAGCGATTCGAGCACTGAAAGTTGCACATTGCCTCGTGCTGAGAATGGAGATGGCGGCCCGCCTGGTTGGAACCTCGGACACCTCTCGGACACCTCTCTGTCTTCTGTACATGTCTTTGCACGACCACAGAATATGACTCAGTGCGAGGTGAAGGCCCGAGCTGTCCTGGGCAAGTGGCAAGTCCGAACCTTGGCCTGGCCAGTGCCGGACAGGGATGGAGGATGTTTGGTGACAGTTTGGTGACGGCTTGGTGACGGCTTGGTGACGGCTTGGTGACGGCTTGGTGACGGCTTGTTCCGTGCTTCCTTCGTGAGGCCGGGGTGGAGGAGATCAAGAAAGCGCACAGGGCAAGGGATGCACCCTGACAGCATGGGAAAGAGAGATTGAGACCTGGAGCTCAGAGCTTGGGCGCTCAGGTGAGTGGGCTGGCTCAAGCCCTGGGCCGCTTCCAGCACTCTGCGGAAGATGCGGAGGCGCTTTTTGAAACTTGGGATGACTTCGGAGGACTCTGGATGACTTTCGATGACTTTGGGTGGGTCTCTCTCTCTCTCTCCCTCCCTCCCTCCCTCTCCCTCTTTTGAAAGGGAGCTAAAGGTAGCTGCGTCTCATTTAGCAGCTACGTGCTCGGGCGTCTGTGTGCTGCGTGGGTCTTCTCGTGCAAAAGCTCAAGAAAGAGAATCTTCGGACACACGGCGCACGACCTGATATACTTCAAAAAGTCAGCTCCACGTTTGAAGATGCGAGGTCTCTGGCGCCCGTCAGGACCTCGAGCGATGGCGCCGACTCGTCAGGCACTCAGAGCAAAGAGATTCACGAGAAGGGACAAGATGCCATGCGACAGACAACCTACGAACAGCTGATAGAGTCTTCTGATGCACTGTGTTTGGGCTGGTGTCTCTTTTGATGGCTCTTGTAATGGCTCAGTTCGCAAGTAGTGAGGCTGACGAGCTGCCGAAGCTGCTGAAGGAGCACATGATGGTAGATGTAATTCAATGTTTCAGTATTGTCTTTTCGCGCGGCTACCCCAGACTGTGATGTGCTTCAGGATGCTCTCGAGCGCCGCGACGTGCCAAAGCTGCGCGAGGCAAGGGGTGTGGAGCATCTCACCTCAATGCCACAAAGAAGTCGGTATCACCAAAGTGCACAAACAAGTAATCCCTTCCCCCTTTTATTAAACGCCCCCGCAATTATAAAAACACTTTCCGGAAAATCCTGCCGAGAGCGTGCCCTCTTTAAAACCCAATTCCGAATTGGGGGGGGGGTTCAGGGCTCCCAGAACCCTCAAGCCAACCAACATCTTGAAGCTCCCTTCCCCCCTTCCCTCCCAGCCATCCCTTCCTTCCCAGTCATTTCGCAGCACTTAGCTGTCTGTGAGCTGTCTGTGAGCCTGGCTCTCCACAGCCTACCTCACTACTCAAACGATCTAATGACGGGCCCCCCGTTTAATATTAGGGGGAAGGGATTACAAACATGTATGCAAGGATGGGCGCAGATAACCACCACTGAGTTCCAAACCTGAACCAGCAAAATCCCCAAGCCCCTAAACCCCAGAACGCTCCCTCCTCCCATCCGCTTTTTCATGCAAGTGTACTCCTGCAACCGATGTCTTTGAATCTGTTCTGCTTGATCCCTATTCCTGGATCATGTTTTTCATTCCTCTTTTGGGGTACTGCCGTAAGTCTGTTTGCATCGTTGCAGTCACTGTAACCTCAGCATGCACAGAGGCGTACTTTGGCTAAGCGTTTCTTCGAGATTTACATGATTTCGCAACGAATTCGCTGCTTTTGGAAACTATAGAATCTATGCGTTCATTGGGGAAGGAATGCCGCGGTGTGCATGGTAACCCTTGCTTGAGCTCTCGGCTGGAAATTTCGACCACAGCTTACGCACTACTTACGCGAACCTTACGTGCAGCTTACGCGGCCGCGCCCTGTGCCGACAAAAGGTGGCTCGAAGACCAACACTCGGCACGCGATTTTCGGTTGTGGGCATCAACGCTCGGTGCGCGATTGTCGCGTGTGGGCGGCTTGAAGATCAACCAGGACGAGGTACGGTTCGTGAGTGAGGATGTCATATATGCAGCTCTTCGCTCCGTTTAGATGGTGTTTACATGAATTTTCGTTCATGTGGATGCGGCGTTTCGCTGCGTTTAGATGGTGTTTGACATGGTTTTCGTGCAGGTCAAAAAAGTATGATGTCGTAGATGCATCGTCTCGCTGCGTTTACATGGTGTTTGGCATGTTTTGGTGCATGTGGAAGGCTGCGAAAACCACATGAAACCTGTGTCTGGGACTTGCGTTCCCTCGGGCAAAGGCTTCTTCCAGTTCATGGTGGATAACATGTGTCCAATTTGTGGGTAGATTTTTGGCTGGGACTTTTTGGGGCCGTGGCTGGACCTGCGTTCCTTGGGGGGCAGGCGTCCGGCAGCAAAGTGGATGGGACCAGGGCCGCCCGCTGTAGTTCTTTTGTTTGTTTGTTCGCTTGGTGATGGCGTTATCGTGGTGGTCACGCACCGGTACAGTGCGGACGCAGTCGAATTCCAGGCGAGACTGCTTTTTGATCAAACGGTTTCATTTCGAGTGTCCACTTCTGTAGCCACACGGGACCATACTAAACCCAATTGTGTGCTGCATCCCAAGCATTCCCAAGCCTTGCCTGTGCACACAGGCCATGAGTGACATGAGCAAAGATGGTCCGAAGAACATCGATGGTGCCGAGGAGGCAAAAAAGATGATCAAGCGGTGCCCAACGGTTGATCTCATTTGGTCCTTGTCAAGGGCTTGACATGTCAGTTGGCTGATGTTGGCTGCCACTGTTCGATGCCAATAGGTACCAAATCCGAGCGCGAGCTCTGGACCATGCAGTCGGGGAAAGGAAGATCTCCTCTATCCAGGCTGAGATCGCGTACTTTGAGCTTTGCATTCCGGAGGTTGTTGTGCTTCGCATTCCGGAGTCCGGTCGCGGCAGGCTGCATTAGCGACATGGGACTTCAGCCGTGACGACGTGCATGCTGTCAAGGCACCATGCGAGCCTGTCATGCCCAACCTACTCAGGGCCTACTGTTGCTCTTCAGGCACGCCAGGCTATTGCCCGGCGCGACCAACAGAAGCAGAAGCTGCAGGCAGCTGCTCGGGAACCTAGAGATGCACAGAGTATAGATTGAGGAGCACGAAGGCACGAAGTTGCCCCCCATCAGATCCAAGGTCCTTCGCAAAGACGGCCCACATCTACAGCAGGTGGATGATCCAGCCATCTTGTCAAATGATCGTTTCAATTGGCAGCTTTTTGTCGATCAGCAGAAGCATGTGTAAAAGCCCAGCCCTGTCCAGGATTCTTTTTTTGGAGGCTTGGGCGGTCACTAGCTCCACATGACATGTGCAGGTCACACAGGAGTGGGAGTTTGATCGCAACGACGAGGTCACGGATGCAATCGATCAATGGGTGAGTCTCTTTGTGTAGTATGCAGTCTTGAATAACATACAATAACTAGAAAAAAACTAGAATACTAGTGAAGAATACCAGAAGATGTGAATACTGTCTGATCTTATGGTCGCATTCGGCCGCATAAAGCTGCTCTTGATCTCTCTATGGATGTCATCATCGTGCAGGACTTCCAACAGGCCATGGGCGCCCTACGCCGGTACGACAAGCTCGTGGAAGATGTCGAGAGGCTCCCCAAAAGACCACAGACCATAGCAGTTGAGCATAGCCCGGGCGGAAGGATTTATTGACATGTGATATTAATGGCGGAGTCATGCTGGGAATTCAAGTAACATCGAAGAGGGGCGCCTAAGTGGGCTGCTTGCAACTAGTCCTCGATTCTTCCCGAAGTAAATGCTGAGCCCATTTATCAGCGATCATCTGTGCGGGAGGCTCATGGGACCGCCAATGGACATAGTTGCCCTGGCGCGACGCCGCCGAGATTCTTCGGACAGCGCTCTTGCAAGACTCTTTGCCTGGACGATTGCGGGACTTCTCCATGCAGCCAGGAATGTGCTGGACAATTGGGAGTGGTCCAAAGGTACCTGAATTCCAGACATGGTCGCATCCACACTGTTCTTGCTGGCTTCAGTTGCGAAGTAATGACTGTCGCTGCGGAAGTAAGATGTGCATAAGTTCAGTTCTCACTACTGCTGCCTGGATTGCGCAGATGACCCAGTCCATCTTGCCACCGAGAAGAAGATTGCCGAGCATGAAAATGCCGCGAGCTTTAGAAAAAAAGCAAGCAACCGGGAGAGAAACATCAGTCGGCACTCGCAACATGCGACTCAGGCTGCCCGGAACGCTCTGCAAGCCAAGGCGACCGATGCACTGGCATGACTCGAGCCTTGTACTACTCTTGTAATTTTAGCGCTACGCCTGGCCCAGCGCAGCGCCTGGCCCGGGCGCATGTTCACGGGGGGGGGGGGGGGTGGGGGGGTGGGGGGGGGGGGGTCGGGGGGGGGGGGGGGGGGGTGGGGGGGGGGGGGGGTGGGGGGGGGGGGGGGGGGGGGGGGGGGTGGGGGGGGGTGGGGGGGGGTGGGTGGGGGGGGGGGTGGGGGGGGGGGTGGGGGGGGTTGGGGGGGGTGGGGTAGGGGGGGTGGGGTGGGGGGGGGGGGGGTTAGGTAGGGGGGGGGTCTCACCTATACACCTTCGGCCCGAGGCCTGGGCGGATATTCAAGCTGCAAGCTGCTATTGAAATCTTTGTTGCTGTGGCGCTTGTCCGGACTCTTCGAGCTTCCTGCGAGTCGTTACTGTTGCCTAGACGTCCAAAAACAGCCAGTGGCTCTTTGAAGAGCTGGTTTCTGTTCATGTCGAATATCCTTGAGTGGGGCGAAATCCATTTTTCAAATTGTCAAGCAATGCCTCTGCTTTTGACGCTTTCGGGTCTTGAGGTTTCCTGTCGGACCTGCAGAGGCATGCTCCAATTCTCAGAAAGCTCCACTTGGAACCTAGAAGTCTTCACTCTCAGGATGATCCAAGGCTTGTCAGAATTTCGCAGAGTTTCGCAGAACCCATGCCCAGTGCCTGCAGCTTCCCAGGGCCTCGCAGCACAAGGGGGGGGGGGGTGGCAGGAATCCAAGGAATAAGGTTCTTGTTGAAAAGGATCTCCTTGATACCGGTTGACTAGCCTGAAGCGCATGTCGACTTATGACCTCGGAGTATCTATCACAGTACAGTGTACCGTGCTTGGGCAGGACGGTTGGAAGCTGCAGCGCGCTCGCACCCCAAGCCAGCTGCCTTTTGTAGGTCCTTGCGTCGGATGCCTGTCGTCCGTACCAGTTTATGCTTCTGAGAACTGGTAGAACTACCGCAGTTGCCAGACCCCAGCATGCCAGATGCAGACAGTCTGAGCAGGGAAATTGTGCTGTGGCTGCCACTGTTGACAACGTTGCGCATCTTTGGGCAAGACGTCCGCTGAGATCTGGCAGTTCAACGACGTCAAGAAAAAAGGAGATGGGATATTCCTCAGTCTGGCTGTGAGGTGAGTGGTCAGCCTCTCTGCATGCTAGATACTGCAACTGTGTATTGCTGTTGGTGGTGGCTTTATGTGGCTTTCCGAACACGGGCTGTTGGTCCGCTGCTTTCTGCCACGGTTTCGATGCTCTTTGTGATGCTTTCTCTCTGCCTAGAGCTTCTTTTGCCTCGGGAGGTTCCTCTGTTCTGGATTTTGTTGCAGTGTGGGCGCTGAGCACGCTGCATCCAGCAATGCAACAATGTCGGACGTGCGAGGAGCTGCCCCTTCGGTGCTACAACAGCAGATGGCAGGCATTAAGTGGAAAGCAACGGCTCTGCCCTTGGCCATATTTCTGCACCGAGACTCTGCTACCGATTCCCGGAATCAGGTGGCCAAGAACCGCTACAGAGAAGCGACACAAGCCCTGCGTTCTTATCTCAGAAGAGGATGATTGAGGATGGCTGCGGACATTCCTGTCTCAGCGCCACTTGGCCTCGGGTGCCCAAACCAAGGCGAAGCCATCCGTGCAGCTGTGGAGGAAGCAGAGTTCATGCGCACAGAGGCTTTGCAGGAGGTGCGATCCCCTCTGACTGCTATGACCAACCATTCAAGCCGCCCCTTCCTCCTTTCGACAGTTGAGTTTCAGGTTCAGGTGCCAGGGGATGAGGACGCCTTGCAAGCCCCACACGAGAATGTGCTTATGAGCTTGTCACGGCTCTGGGCTTAGATGCGCAATGGTTGCACAACGACTGTTTGCATATGTTTGCAGACTCCCTGCCGTTCCAGAGGTTCTCCACGACGGGACTCCCGCCCAAGGAGTATGAGCTGCGAACGCTGGCTCCAAGCTTAAGACCTTCGCATACCCGATTGTTGACTTGCGGTAGGATGGGAGTCGAGAGTATTTTGTACGGTGGCATCAGCAACCTTAGTGTTTGTGTGCGTGTGTGTGTGTGTGTGCCTCTGATGACGAATGTCCGTGACAGCATGACGCGAACTCCGGCAGGTGGAAAATTGGCCATTCAGTCTGGACGACCCCACACTGCAGATGGCAGACTGCTTACGGACTCCGGGACTCCGGGTTGTGAAGTGCGAGCTCTCTGAAGTGAGTTTGAGAAGTTTGAGGCCTCTCACTGGGTGGCTTCCAGAGCTTTGCTGAAGGTGCACAGTGCAGAAGTCGGAAGTGGCAGTTTGCTGGTGATTCAGGTTACATCTGCTGCACGCTGTTGAAATCTGTCGAAGTTTCCTGTGCACCTTGAGACTTTCATGCTGATTGCTTGCTTTCAGACGTGCTCGCTCCGGTATTTGGACATCGCTCTCCACGGTGGACACACCGTCAGCATCACGAAAGTCCGAGGCCTAAAGAGGTCCTCACATCATCAGGTGGGTGATTAGCAGACAAGACCAACAAAGCGTGACACGTCTTTCGTCACTGGGGCCTGCCTTGTCTTGCTGCAGCTGATGAATACGGAGCCTTAGTGAGCGGCCATCCAGTATCCAGTTGCATGCTGGTAGTCTGCATCGCACTAACCTCGTTTCAGGCAGGTAGGACTTTCTCTGACACGAAGTGTGGGCACACCGCAACCCAGTACTTTGACAGCCAAGTACCTTAGTACTCTGCTCTCGCTGCTTCGAGGCGCTGGGCCGGGCATCTGCTGTGGCTGCCAAAGCCTTGAAAAGAAATTCACAGTTGCTATGCTTTGCGTCGATCAGAGATCAGTTGCTAAATTTTGAGATTTACCAGTTGCTAAAGAAGTTGGATTGGTCCCAGATTGCGGCTTGCCGCTAGGCTCCCTAGGCCCGCTAGGCTGTTGAAAGGCGAGGGTGAGGATGGGCCAATGCAGATATCTGTGCAGAGGTACCTCCTCGGATCTATCACAAGTTCATCAAGCTGCCGACAAACATTTTACGGGGCAAGGTGCCATTGCCTTTCCAGTGCCTTTGCCAGTGCCTTTGCCAGTGCCTTGCCAGTGCCTTGCCAGTGCCACCATGCCACTCGTCACAACTCTCTTTGTCCAACCCTTTCTGCCATTTCTGCCTGTACATCCATCTGCAGGAGGAAGCTCTGATGCGTGAGGCCACGATGCAGGCCGTGGGCGCCATGAGCCTCGGTTCCTCGGAACAAATAACTCCAGCGTATACTCGGATTTTTCCAGCTCGCTTCTTTGGCTTGATTCTTTCATGATGTTTTTGCTCTCAGGTGTAGAGCCAGACGACCTCATGATGGCCTGCGCCTTGCGAACATGCGATCAGATCTGGGCACGGGGTAACGCGTGTTTTGGAGATGTCAGGGTCTGCCTTTGAATCCTGTTCTGGACCTCGACAGAGGCCGGCTAGCTAAGCATGTCGCAAATCGTCTCGCTAAGGCCTCCGCGTTTGCCAAGGAGCTTGCAGACAAGGTGCATCCTTGAAGTATGTGCCAAAGCTTCACCACGACATGTGCTGCATTCAGCTCAAATGGACTCCACCTCGGCTTCAACCACTGGTGACAGGCCAAGCTGGTGCGCATGGCCGTATCCTGCATCGAGGCCTCCTCGACCCTAAGATGCCCAAGAACCGACCCGACATCCCTTTTGTTGTTCCTGGCACTCGGCTGCGCTCCGCTGCTGCATGTCATCTTCGAGGCTGGTCGCATCCCTACCCTCCGGGCGGCATCGAAGCCTCCGAGGCCAACTTATCACGACGTATCGCGTCCGTAGATGCCGCGTAGAATCCGCGACGCGGCCTGGCATGTGGAAGAGTCATGTGCCACGTTGACCCGCTCAGGGTGGTTCACGGCATCATGGAAACGATCTGCCATTGTGTCGCTGGCATTCACCCAGTCGTGCGTGACCCGCCTCGGGACACTGGCTGGAGGCGACGTGTTTTCAGCTGCACTACGCTCATTCGAGCACTTGCAGCACAAGCTGGGGCGATCATGCCGATTCTTTCTGCGTTGCCGCACTGCAGGACATGCCAGCGAATGATGAACAATCCGAAAGTCCTGCACGCACCTGAGACAGGTAGAACTCCAGCCTCTTCCTTGGGGTGGTTGCCACTGCTAGTATGTTCATGCTACTCTCTACAAGGATTGAGAATCTCACCTCACTTCCGGACTGGCTGGCATCTGGCCGAGTCGTGGGCTCCTTAGTGAGTCTTGTTGGAAGTGGCAGATACAGGCTCGGCCGATCTCTGTCGAGCGTCGTCACTCCGGTCGATCTTGTTTTTCTTTGATTTGCCGCCTTCCAACCTGGTCGGGTTGGTGTACCCTTTGTCTGCCCAAGGAGCCGATTGAAAGGGCAAGAGCTCATTGGGCCAAGGCGTTTTTCTGCTCCACTCCGCTTTGTCCGCGAGAGGGGAATAGGACTGCGAAAGTTTTCGGGAGGTACAGGCAGAGGCCTCGCGCCCCCAAGACTGCACCGTGGAGGCGCGTGGAGCCTTCCGTGAAGCCATATGAAGCCTTGAAGTCAGAGAGTAAACGAAGGTGGAAACGTGTTTGACCTTTTTGCAGGCAGTCCGTCGCCACAGCATCTTGGCTGGACAGTTCCTGCTCTTCCTCGAGCAGACATTCGCCACGGCCCCAGAGGGGCAGCCGTAGTGGGCAGAGCCTCACGGGCTGACGGGTGAGCTGATGGCAAATGTGACAAGCAAGGGGTTCTTCGAGCTCCTCAGTATGGCAAATGCCCAGCACCCAGCAAAGACTGCAGGGGATCGATTTGGCGTGCAGTCCTTGTGGGATCACCTGGTTCGCGCTCTTCGAATGGCTACACAGGTGGCTCCGGAGCAACGCAAAGGCAGGCTCTGGAAGACTGCAGGATATGCAAGGATTCCGAAAAGCAGCTGCGCCCGAAAATGCCTGCAAGGTGCACACGAAATTGCAAAGGACGCGGATGCTCAGAAGCTTTCCGACCTCCAGGCACACCACCCCATGCTTCGGAGAACGAAAGGGGCCAACATGTGCACGATAGGGCCCTGGTCAGACATGGTGCGCATCTGACAAGGTTTGATTTGAGGGCCGCCTTCAAAAACCTCATACTGATTACATCTTAAGAGACCTGGATCCTTCATGAAACAGGCATGCAGGAGCAAGCAATGGGCACCCTGCTGCTCCCTCACAGCTGATCTCTTGAGGCCATTTTTGTCACACTCCGTGAAGAGGCACACAGTCACCCAGTGCCATGGCAAAAGATATGAAAGTTCGATTCAGAGGAACTGTTCTCAGTTGCGTTTTGCAAGTCTTGTGCGAAAACCCAGGAGTTTGCCGGGCAGCCGCTCTGGTACTATGTCCTCACTAAGGATGCCGCCTAAGTCTCTACCAGTCTCGTGCATGAAGTATGTGGCAGTCGGAAGCCACCCCACAGCGCAGTGGGGCTGTAGCCAAAGTTCGGCTACGCGGTCTGGTTTTCACTTGAATATTCCTCAACCCTTCTAGATCACGTCGCCAGCCGGTACCTTGTCCCAGGCCCAAGGCTCCCTTGCGAGTGATATGCTCTTCAGTGCGGCGGGATCCCCAGCTGTGTGTGTGTGTGTGTGTGTGTTCCACGTCGTTCGCTTCAGAAAGACTGCTGTGCTCAACTTTGAAGGCCTGGGCAGTCGCGGGTGGGCAGGCCCGGGACACAGTACATCTCAGTTCATCTCAGGTCATCTCATGGCTTGCATGTCGGGTAAAAGCCAAGTGGGGGAAAGCCCTTTCGTGGAGCCAAAGTGCGTAGATGCGGCAACCACAAGGTGCCGCGAGCAGTTCTGTTGCTTTTGAGCCCCCAGATCCCATCGTGACAGGAGGAAGTGGTGGAGGAATGTTGCCGGCCGAGCTGTCGCATGCATGCCGGTAACATGTCAGTGGGCCAGGCATTCAGTGCACCGCTGCACCTCTCTGAAGTACTCGCTAGCTTCAGTGTGCTGCATCTCAGACTTCCATGTAATGAATGATGAATGCCAAGGTGTCGAGCGAGCTCGACTACAAGTGATGGAAGCCTTGGCTGTGACATCTGTCTCGAATGCGGTGCCTGCGACCAACAGTTCTTCTGACGGTATGTCACTGATTATCATGGTTGAAATCGGCAACTTTGTTGGCCTGTTCTGAATGAACGTCATGTGCATGTGGCGAGCAGAGGGTTCAGCAACGCCAGCTCATCACCCTCCATCGATGTTCTTACATCGATATCCCTACAGTTCAATTCCTGCAGATCATTTTCAGATTCGCTGCCACCCTGAGTGATATTTTGTTTAAGTGCGTCTTGCCTTTTGGGAGCTGCTGAGGTGCTGAGCAACGTCTGCCGCGGCCTGCGGCCTCCTCCGCGTGAGGCGCGCATGGAATGGGGAACAATGGCGGAGAGGAGGCGGAGCGGAGGTCTTCCCGGTAGCTTTTTCATGCTTTTTCTGGCATTCCCGATTTACTACAAAGAGCATAGAAGCATTAAAAATGGTGGAGCATGAGTCTTGCGACGCATGATGGAACGGGGATGTGCGGAAGCACGTGTAGCAGTGTCAGTGTAGCACATGTGAGAACTGAAGCCCGACCTGGGCTGACACATGCTGACACCACTGAAATGCAATGAGAGGTGTTGACGGCGAGTGAACCACGGAGGAGTTCCAAGGTCCGATTCTCGGGGCGAATCCTGCAAGTGGCCCTTGGTATGAATAAGGCATTGAGCATGCTCCCGTGATGCAACCGGCAATGCAGCATCCGTCATTTCTTGATATCTGATATGCTGTGCCACATCTGCCTGCATCATGCTGAGTTCTTGACCCAGCTGAATGGCGGGGAGCTGAGGGCGAATTTTCCGAGTCTCTGTGTTCATCAGTTACATCACATGTTATACCCTTTTCGGGATTACATGATTAAATAGAGTAAGCGATGTGTATATATGATTGTGATAAAACAAAACGATCGGTATGTACATATATATATATATGTATTGATATTTATATGTGTAAATAAATAAATAGAATTATATGTATATATATATGCACACACACACACCTAGCACAAGTCTGCGTTATCTTGTGCATTCTTGCGCGACTTAGGGCAGTCTGATTTGAGTGCCAAAGCCCGGCCTCTCAGAGCTGAACGTGGAATCCATGTTTCGACCTTCTGCGGACACTTGGAGTCGCTGCTCTGCTGTCTTTGTTTTGGGTGACCTGATACAAATGTCCAGAGTGATGATCTGGGGCACAAACGTAGGGGTGCTGTGCATCTTGAGTCTGCAGGCTAGCTTTCACCGCGCCAACAAGATGAACGAGGCAGGAACTCTGAGAGAGGGGCTTTCAAGCAGTGAGCAGAGGGTTCATGCCTCCCTCGCATCGGCGTACGTTAAAACGGCCAGGTCTCGCGAGCCTTCAACAAGCACAACCCGACTGTAGCAAGAGAGGCAGCAGCATTTCTCCGTGCACTATGGATGCTATGGATGCTAGCCTGCTAACCTTTCTTATATAGGCCTGCCCTGCAAAGATGTTCACCCGTGCGGGAGGTTGACGTGCTGATCATCAGGATCACTGGCGAGGCAGGTCTGCTGTTAGCTATGCTGTGAGGTGCACTTCCTTGGTTCGTTGGATTCCATGGCATGTTTTCGTTGAACTCTGCAGCTTTACTTCAGCGCCCTCGGGGGCACGTTTCAGCCTAGCTTCAGCCTTCCAGGAAGCTGCACTTCTTCACATGCCCATTAGCTCAACGGTGAAGGCACGGCTAGTGCTCTGCTCTGCACTGCCCCTTTCCAAAGCGACGAGAGCTTCGCCTTCTGTGGCTTGCAGTACCTTGTGTTCCTAAGCCTCATATACTTGGTCGAGGATCTCCAAGAACGCCTTGCAGCCAGGACCTAATTTGTGAAATTGGGCGTACAAGCTGTCATGTGGACCAATGCTGGGCTGTCGCGCATGTTGAGGCGATCGAAAATGTGCCGGTACGGTGCCAAGCTGGAGCCACTGTCCAGCGCCTCCTCATGAGTGGAACATGTCTTATAGCATTATAGTCTTATAGCAACATAGCAGGGCCAATTCGAGCAGGTTTTGCGCTGGTTTTGCCATCTGTTGATGCTGGCTACAAGGTTCATCGGCAAGTTCTCCTTTTTGAGAACAAAGAGATTTCTGTCCGGGGCTCGAGAGCATCGTGGCCATGGGGAGCGGCATAGCATAGTTTTCGCAACTCGTCGCAGTGATCTTTTCTGCTTCGCGAATCTTCGCGATGCGTCGCGCATGAGGCCCAACACCTTGTGAAGAATCTGCGACGGGACAGGGAGAGCGTGGTTGCCTGCAGCTTACACCTACGCATGAGACAGCATGCGTGCGTCATGCTGAAATGACCTGTGGCTGAGTTCTGCACGCTGTACTACAAGTTTGGTCCTTGGTGACGTGCAGCAGTGCAGGGCTTTAGGACTCGTGCGCCAGCAGTATTTTGGGGTTGTTGTCAGACGATGCCTGATACTTCTCGACCAGTGGCCCTTCATTTTCTGACCATATGGAATTGTATCACGTTCTCTTCTCCGAAGGCGAGTTGGAGGTTTCACTCCTCCCGCATATGTTCAGGTCTGACGAGTTGGTCCACCGCATTGAGGCCAGTGCTTTGCTGATGTCTCCGCCGCAGCTGCAACTATTGCAACTCGCGCACCCGAAGCGACGTTGCCGTGCATGTTCATGGCGTACAAGTCAATTTGCCAGGCGGCCATGTTGAAGATCGCGCAGTGCTCGCAGCTGGATCTGGAGATGCCATCCCTCCTCGGCGGGCCATGCCCTCACACAGGGAGAGGGGCTGGCCTCGGGTGACCGCAACTTTATGCAACTTTTAAGGCTTATTCAGCGCGATTTTCAAGTGCACAGGCAGTTGGCAGATCCAGCGATCTGTCTGATCTATGGCACAAGCATGTTCGACACCACGGTGCCTCGGCAAATGTCTGGCCTACAGTGCCAAGCTGCTAAGCGTTCCCACTACGTATATATCTGACTTAGAAAATGCTCGTGATGTGTCATGAGTCTTCTGCTAGTCTCTACTTTAGTTATACTTAAATTCTCGAGTTTGCTGCAAGGTGGCACGGCCTGGGGGTGGTGAGCGACGTCAGGCCAGGCTGGATTCGATTCACGCGTCGCGGAGCTCTACTAGAGTGCACATGTGCAGATGCTCCTGCACATGAGATGACGCATGGGCACAAAGGGTCAAAGATGTTGAGACATGGTCGGACAAGGCCAGAGCACTATGCGCGCTGCGGAGACCCAAAAGAAGTTTCAAATCGTGCGCAACGAAGCACCAGAGACAGCAGGAATCATCAGGAGCTTTCCTGGACAGTGTGAGTGCAGCGAGAGGAGCGTCGTTTTCAAGCACGAAGCTTCGAAACCAATGCCCGCAAGGCGAAAGGTGCCAGGCGTCAAAGCAAAAAATTTACGGGGTTCAAGCTACAAACGCAAACGTTGAGGCGAGATGGTCTCCGAGCCCAAGCAGAGTGGATCATGGCAATGCCGCGGGCGTAGGTATGTGTAGATCGCAAGACCGGAAGTGCCTTTCCGCAGGTTCGCGCGTGCTAAAACACCACAAATCAAAGGATCGTCGGTGTAAAGCTCAACTTGAGAACACCTTACCGTGATGACAGCAAGACTTCAAAGCCATCCGACCCCAGATGCTACCGATATTGTTTTCTCGCCCGTTCGCACCCTGGCAGGGCGGCCGGCGTGTGGCTATTTCTGTCAGGAAAAACGAGACTGTGAAAGCATGGGCCGCAGATGGCCATTCTTGGTGTGGTGTGGCTTCTGTATGCGCTGCTGTGGTCTATTTTCTGCCTCGTGATGTGGCAAATGGCCAAGGCTCTCAGTGACAACAGCCCAATATCACCTTCGGATGCCATTGCCGCTGTCAGCGCTGTGCGAGTGCGAAGCTTAGTCAGCTTGATGCTGGCTTTCAGGTTTTCACCTACTCTTTCGCCTCTCAAGTCTCTGTTGAAGAAAGCAGTCCTTCAGAGTCCTTGTCCTTACATCCTTGGCACCTTGCAAGCTGGTTAGCGCAGCGCGTATATTAGCGAATCTGAAAGGTGTCGCGGTCTTGAGTGGGTGTTGGGAGCCGTACGGCACGGTGGATGGACACATTGGTGCGAGGTTTTATGAGGGACGTTTTGTCTCAGGTCTCGTCAATTGCTTCCATGTGGGGTAGCATATGACAAAGTTGCCCGGTGGTATGGCATCAGTCTTCCATTAAAAAGTCGGATCCCACTCTGATATTTCAAGGCGGGTTGTCACACCAGGAAAGGATGTTTTGTGCATCGCGCAGGCATTGAGTCCACCATCTCCGCGGAAGCAGTCTCTTCAGGCCATGCGGGAGTGTTTGTCATGATGCGTCGTACATGCTGGAGCGGTCTTGTGTCAAGGAGAGGGTACTGTATCACAGTGTAGCAACTACAGGAGTTGAAGCTGCCCAGAAGCATGCTCCCGCAATCTTCCATAGCGATCACAGCTGTTGCCCTTCAGCTGACGATGATGGATATTCTTCGAACTGCGACAGAGGCCTGGGATGCTAGGGATGCCAGGTCAGTAGAATCTGTTTTTCTTGTTGCGCTCCTGTTGACTCCTGCTCCCACGTGAATGTATCTTGCAGGCAAAACGGCTTTACACGATACTCTTGACCTGAGTCAGAGAGCGTGGAATTTGTTTCAGTGTGTTCATGTTGACAGTTGACAAGCCTGTGCACCACCTAAACCCCTTTGTGCCAGCTCGTCCGCGGCCATGCCTGGGGAGTGCCAAGATCAGGCCAGCATACGGTGCAGGTGCGGATCCACTTTGAGTGCATCAGAGCTCTGTCTGGGCAGGTTTGTGAGAGCCTCGAACTGGGTAACTGGGCCGTGCCAGCGCGCAGGTGGACACTCCGTGGCAGATGCAAGTGGTGTGCGAGATCTTGGAGACGAGCCCTCGGCAACTTTGTCATGGTTATGCCGCCAGTGCTTCCAAAGACCGTCGGCAAGGTTGAGCACAAGTCTGCTCAAGAAGCCTCTTGTGCCACAGGTGGCCAGTTGCTGACTGTCAACCACTGTGCATTTGCAGTGTTGTCAGCATTGTCTCTCGTGTGTGTGTGTGTGCAGGTGTTGCGCATGGCGGTTTGCATGCTTCAGATGCGAAGAACATGTGTGTTGTGGAGGCCAATCTCAGCACAGCCCTTCGCATGCTGCAAGAGTTAGAGGAGGCTGGGTCGGCTGGGTGAACCACCATGCAGCCCTCGCATGGGCTTTAGGCCGTTATATTTTTCGCCCTTCTATGCCATATCGGTGTAACGTAGCGAGCCAGATCATTGGGCCCAATTGCGATTGGTTGAGACATTTTACTGCGGTACCTGGGACAGCAGTAGCAACATACCTTACTGCAGTGAACAGATGTGGAGCCAGAGTCCGTGCGTCACTGTCATTTGTGTCAACGGCTTGGACTGCTGAACGAGATGAAGGATCCTTGCCTACACAGCCTTTCACGAAGCCACTTCTTGGGCTTGGCAGCCCCTTTGAGATGCCGTCCATCTGTGGCAGCAAAAGAGGTGAGGGATGTTTCTAATGCCCTTGGATACCCTACTTGTGGAGGCACAGGTTAACCCCATCGAGGTCCGAGGTGACCAATGATACACGTGCGACTACATGGAGACTTTTTACATGGAGGCTTTGAGTAGGTTTCAAGATCTTCTGGACAAGCGTTGTCCTTTAAAGAGGATGAACTCGTAGTCCACAAGCATCGCAACTGGCGAGTGGTGTGATGGAACTCCTATATGGGCTGTTTCAGCCTCGTTCTCACCCATTTTGACGGCAAGAAGAAAAGGCATAATGGATGACAAAGATTGGTATTTTGTAGAGTGGGACGCGCTTCCCACCGGATTCCTAGATTCGCAGGCCCAGTTCTTGACGCAAAGGTATGGCTGTGAAGGTTGGAAGTCATGCTTCGCCCCAGACAGCTCTTTCCATGCTCTTTCCACCGCTGCTCACAAAGGGCTGGGAAACACGTCACGCCAAGAAAGGGGCCGGCTGGATGAAAGTTCAGGAAACATTGCTTATGAAAGTTCGGGAAGTATTGCTTATGAAGAGTTAGCCTTTTGAAATCGCCTGTTTGGCATTCCAGAAAAAGTTGAGCTTTTTGAGAGACCACAGGGACGTTGCTGTGGGGCTGGGCGTTGTGCTTGATTCTTTTTGTTGGAAGTTTGGGATTTTCTGCTATTCCGCAAGGTGATTCCCTTTTGTCCTCTTTCCATAAAGATGTTTCACAGGCTGGGCTGCCGGCCATGTACCAGCCCGACTTCATTGCGCATCGCCGACGATCCGCTGCCATGATTCTAGGCGCGTCCGGTTAGCTAGCGATCAGATCGTGCACATGCTTGCGTCTCCACTGGGCTTGTTCAATGGTTTAATCTGTGGCGCTCTCATCGTGCTAAAACAAAGATGGGCAGAGCCACGTTGCATTACCATTGCATGGCCGGGGCATAACGCTACACAATGCTATGCAGTTCATCTGGAATCGAGGACCAGGATCCAAACCGACGACGCCAGGGACTCCGGAAAGCGCAAGGGCGGGGTCGCACCACAGCGACCGGGAGCTCGCGCAGTGTTTTTTCGTTGTGTCAAGGCGTTTCTTTGGACCTGCATGACCAAAACGTGTGCGCGATTCATACCTAGCCTTGTAGCCTTTCGCAGAGTGTGCTCACCTATTCGTGCCGCCAGGTACCGTGTTGTTTCACACTGTTTCACATTGTTCCGTGCAGGAGCTGCCCTTCACCAGAAGGGAGACCTCCGCCGATTCGTGGACACGTCAAACCACAATGACGGAGCGGGCTCTCCTTGGGACAGTTTGGCAGCAGTGCCGAGAAAGCGTAATGAGAAAGCAGAGCATATCCGAGCATCTTGAAGATTTTTCACGCATGCGATCATCAGGGCTCTTTTTTCGTGCGTTCGAAGGATGGTCCCATCTTCGGACGCCGGGACACCTCCCGTGAACGTGATGAAGGTCCTTCTTGGCGGCGGGAGAACGGGATGCAGGCACACATGGCACACCTATAGGGTTGAGCTTGCCAGATACGCGTCGCCACAACTCTGACTGATGACCAGCCCTCAATAAAGAGATGCCCCTTGTGCAGGACAATTCGCCTCCTCCACCTGCGAGGTGGGACGGGAATCAAGTCTCTAGAATATGCTTGCATGCGCTTGCCCGTGCATAGTGGAATTAGATGTCAGCCACCAGGGCATGCCCGAAGCTTCAGCTGGACTGATTCCGCAACCCCGCTGCTGTCGGTGGTCTCTTCAGCTCCTGTTTTCAGGGAGGCCGACTATCAGCGCGGCCTGCAGGCTGTCAGCTCCTTCGTCAAAGCCATACAGGCCCAGAGTTCGATGACCCATGTCTTTGTTCGAGTTGCCGCTCCTTTGCGTCCGCACAGCCAGGACTTCTATCAAGAATTTGTGCCTTTGCGGGCTTATGCGGCGGCAAACATGTCCTTCTGCCTCCAGGCTGGGGCATGAATTAAAACATTGAATAACTATCACATCAAGAGGCGCTTGCCTTGCCGTTCACCGTCAAGATGACGTTCAGCCTTTGACGTCTCAAATAGAGTACTGCCGACGCGGGCAACACGAGAGCTTAGCATGCAAAGGCCATAACCAGGAGGCCACCGTCAGGAGCTCCACCTTCTCCTGCTTCCACTACCTTTCCAGAATAACTGCCCTTGTAATTTAACACTGTGCCTTCTCATGGCGCAGCCATGTAAGCACACCACCGCCCAAGGCCGCCCAAACTGAGCTGAACAGCAAACGCGTCAGCGAACAGCTTCCTGCTTTGCAAGCCTGGAACGCCTGTAGAGGATCCAATCCTGTTGCCTGCAGCCTACGAAGCGCCACTCCCTGCCAACAAAAGCGGTATTGGCAATGTACAAGCCCTGCTTGTCTTGGCCCGCGCTCCTAAAATGTGGGTTTGCCTCGGAAAACGATAGCTTCAACACGTTGAACGATAACGTAGTAATGTATGGCATGGCAACCGAGAGCATAAATCGCAAATGCTATCGTGATTTGCGGAAAAGGAATGTCCGCCCATCCTGCCTTGAGCGATCCGGGCGATTCCGGGTGTCACTCTGAGTTGTAATTACGAGTACGCCGGACGTCCCCTGCAAGCTCTCCGAGGTACATCACTGAATGTTGTTAGTCTGCAGTCAAATAAGGCATCACAATTCGCCGCCGGTGAATTTAGTCAGTTTAGTCATCGCCATTGCTTCCAGACATCTGCGGCTATTGGTTTGTCCTCGTCATCAATGCCAAAGCTAGCTCGTATGGCTTCAAATTGCTTGGCAATGTTGCCTTATACAAGATGCGTTTGCTCCAAAGTTTGCCCCAAAGTGCATGCCCGCGTCATGTTGTTTTGCTGGCGGGTGCTTGTGTTGGCTTGGCTGTAATTGTCAAAGAAATCTGCTTTACCTGGGTCTCTAAGGCTTGCACTGGCCGTGCAAGTCCGCAGTGCTTGTACTTGTGGTGTGCGACAGGCCGAGAAAGCCTACAAAGAGTCCAGCAAGGTGCAATGCATCACATTTTTCAAAGAGTCCTGTTAGCACTCTTGTGAGTAGTTCCAAGGAGGCATTGGGTTCAGTTTGTCCGGAATGGGATTGTGCATCGAAAGCTCGCAGGTACTTCGCGTGTCTCAAGGTGCCTCGGCCGCCTTTGGTCTACCTGTTAAAGTTCCAAGTGTCAATTCCGGCTCGAGCTCACACTGTACCTCGGTGACACTGCGATGGAGAATGCCGGTGACAAGGTCTTGAGGACATGTGCGCGCTGCCGCCAAACTGCACAAATGTGGAGGCTGTCCAGGAGGCAGTGGAGCGCAAAACATGTCTCCCGTATCGTAGCAGCTCGTTTCCCCATCAAAGCCGAGGTCTGTCAGTGCAAGTATAGCAGAGCACTGGCTGCAAGCAGTGGCGCAGTAATCTATGACCGTGATGTGATGAGAGAGCTCATCTCTTGTTCATGTCATGTCCTTCAGTTGCCGGCACATGTGGAGGCAGCAAACACCGCCTGCAACCAGCTGCAGGCTGTCGGGCGTCCGCTTAAGTGGCCGAGATGCGTCTCACTGCTCATGCTAGCATAGATAGGTTCTAAGGCACCAGACTGCCAATTCATGCCCACCATTCATCACCCATGATGCAAAGTCTACTCCACCGCCTTGTTGCTGCACCATGGTGAGCCATGCCATCCTTGTCAGAGACATGCAAAGGTTTCTTGTTTCATGCTGTCCTTAGCCAGGAAATGGCCGAGCAGGGCATTCCAATTGTTTATCCCCACGTGGAGTGCCCGAGTCTGCTTGTGCGGTGGAGGGCGGGGGCAGGGCATTGTTCAAATGGACGTTCTTGGAATCGGAGCCTTAGCCGGGCTCCCGTCAACTGCAAAAGAGCAATGGCCGCTTCACAACATGTTTGCCAGGTCGCATGTCGAGCATCCCTGCAGGTACGTGCGATGTGCGATCGACAGTTCTGAACCAAGCTACGTTCAAAATGTCCAGAGTCGAGGAATTTTGCATAAGTAGGCATGTATGCATGGACTGGAGATCTATGCACATGGCAGATGATCTGGATTCACATGTCTTTTGTGAGGTGCAGGGCTCGCTTTCCTGAACAGTGACGCGCTCAGAGTTCTCTCACTGCTGCCCCTCTTGCTCTGGTAAAAGCTCCTGGCCTTTTTGTTTGATTTGCGGGTGCGGATTCGCACTCATCGGGGCACGGGTGTTCTTTAAAAAAACTGCCACACATTCTGGTTCTGCACATAGAGCAGGTGGCCAGGCCTTGCCTCTTAAGCTACGAAGGGTTCATGTATGTAATTGTTTTAATAGGCGGTCTGCCTTTACACGAGGGTCCGTTTTGCTGATTTCTGCCAGGCCCTCCTGCTGCAGAGCCGGCGCAGCGTCTGCGGTGGGCTGAGGCGCCCAGCGCCCACCTCGTCCCAAAGGGTCCCTCGTGGAGTCATGGGTCCCTCTTCTGAGGGGTCCTACTTACGCCTACGGTGCCGTCGCCAGGGGATCATGTCCGTCCAGCTTGCGCCGCTTCCCAGCTTCGACCAGACGTTGAAGCGCATTGCGAGGCGGACATTGGTGTCTGTTGCATTTTGATGATTCTGGCATCCGGCTCGAATCTTTACGTTGCAACGAAGCAATCTCCTGGAATCCACGAAGTCGCGGGGTCTGGTCTTTGGGCTACAGGATCTGTCATGCTCGTCCTGAGAGACCGCCACAAAATTTAGGGACCCAACAAGGACATAAGCAGAAGCATTTTGTAGGGATATCCCTACCATATTGCGCTTCATTATGAGGGGGTTTATTTGGGATATCCCTATCCTAATTTTTGCTTATGTGCTTCTTTGGGCCCTAAAAATGGAAAGATTCCTGGAATCCGTGAAGTTGCAGGGTCTGGCATTTGGGCTACAGGATCTTTCATGCTCGTCCTGAGAGACCGCCACAAAATGGAAAGAGCAAAAGTCAGGGGGTTCAGGGTACAGAGGCCCCTCTGCTAGCATCTTTGAGGTCCATCGACGAGGAGCAGTTGGCGGAGCTGGCGGCCAACACGGAGCCCCCCGAGGCGCGCTGAAAGCGCAAGCAAAGGTCAACCCTTTTTTGAGCACCGCTGCTTGCATTCGATGACCTGGAGTTGCATTTTTGGGGTTTTCGATGGTTTTCGACTAAGAACGAAGGCACTGGAGCCGACCAGCTTTGTCATAGTTGGCTTGTTCAAGAATAGCTGCATAGCTTTGTCTAGTCTCTTGAAATCTCAGCCCTGGCAGCACATGCAGCGCGGTGCCTTGGGGACTGGCATCGAGAGACTGTTTGACCTTGCCTCAGCATACCGCAACCGGAGTCCTTTTGCCTGCAGATATGCTTGGAAAGAGCTGGCTATGATGCCCGGTAGTGCTGCTTCGTGCTGTTGTTTGTCAAGAACGCTGCCCAGGCTGCTCTGGCCTGGGTCCTGGACCCGCAGTGCAACTGTGACCGGCGCTGGTCGCAATCGCGACAGCTGCTCTTGGATGCCGAAGGCCCCTGCTGAGATTCACTTAAAGTTGCATATGTTGCGTACAAGCTGCTGCTTGAGCCGGGTCTCTTTACGGCAGCTGCAGCTCGGGATCACAGCCGCGGGGCGTAGCATGCAATGATGCGCTCGAAGATGAAGGCAGTCCTTGCTACTGTAATCTGTCAATTGCGTCAGTTTCGACCACTTCTTAGGTCCCCCTATCCAAACGTGGAAAGCTAGCAGCAAGAACGCAGAGCATCCCTGTCACAAATCGAAACCCGAACCCTACACACCCCACCTGCTGAGAACATTGCTCTCGCAAATCTAAACCTGAACCTTTCCACACCCCGCCTGCAGAGAGCATTGGAGCCTTGTGACCTTGCCCCGAAGTCCAATTGTCATGCGCATCATGGACATCTGTCTTCCGCATCTGCATCTGAACAAGGCAAAGGTTTCCAGAAAGTATTGGACAGTAGGTCCACAGACAAAAAAGGATAGTCAGTTCATAACAGCAGGTTCCCATACTTCAACAGAGTTGAACCTCATGGTAGCTACGGGAGCCGTTGTGGCGCCATGGGTCGAAGGGCTCTGCTGCTGCTGCTGGCCAGTCCGCTGCCGTGGCTGTCGTGCTTCCTCAATTGCAGGCTGGTGGTAAAAGTTTCTGCATGGGTCTGAGCAATGCTGAGCATAGCTGTTTTGAGCCGATGATGGCAGACTGGGTCCAAGCTGCCAGAAAGTACGATGGAAAATGGACATGTATTGACTGTATTGATGACTCGCGTCTGTAGGCCCACGCCACCATGCATGCGAACGGCATGTGGAGCAGCTGCCTCCGGGCCAGCTGCCACAGCTGAGGCACGCTTTGCAAGCCTATGCGAGAATCCAACAGCAAAGTGCAAGGTTCAAAGTGCGACTCAAGTCGGGCCAGTCTTGCTCTTGATTTTCAGTTCGTTCTTGAGAATAAACTGTGCATGCTCATGCTCTTGTTCAGCGCGGGATAGCGTGGGCCTGTTTGGAAGAATCGGGTTACAGGTACCTGGCAGTGTTTATCCGCTCTGACATTCAAGGCAAGACTGAGTTGAAATCATGAAGCTCTCAGGCTCTGCGCGCTTTGGGACTGGACTATGTGCCACCCATGGCAGAGTTGCGGCCGCTTGCAAGAAATGGGAATGTCTGTGCCTTGGCCCCCTTGGCATATGTATATCATGGCATTGTTTTAGAGTGGGCGGAGGAGAATCGAAGGCGCACCTTCCGCCGCCTTGCTGCGCGATCACATCCAGATGTTCAGAGCGGTAGCAAGGAGTCCTTCCAACGAGTTGTGGAGGCTACGACTGCAGTGGCGGGGAGCTTGTGAAAGATCAGAAAGTGTCGGGCATCATTTTCTGATGGTTTAAGTATGATTCTCATTTGCCAGGAGGTAGGATTGGCAGAGTCCTTTCGGATTTGTCTATGGGATTCTTCAGTTAATTCGGAAAGTTGCTTCTGGGATTTTGTCGGTTGCTGTTTTTATTCACAGGTAGCGCATGCTGTTTCCAGAGTGCCCTTGTGAGTAACTGTTCTCCATCTCTCTCTCTCTCTCCCTCTCTCTCGTTTATTTTTATTTTATATATTTTTTCTCTCTCTCTCTCTCTCTCTCCCCCTCTCACCCCCTGCCCCCCTTCCCCCATGCGCCCACCCACTCGCCCACCACACGGACCCACACCCACACCAAGCCAGCCACCGATTCACAAACCCGCAGCACTCATGCACCCACATAAAGTTTAGGGCTTAGGGATTTCACGGTTTAAGGGTTCTTAGGGTTTAGGCCCAGTTTAGGCTTTCTAATTAGGATGTACTATAAAAAGGACTTGGTTTTCAAGGCTTCAGGATTAGGGGTTTTGTGCCCCCCAACCCCCGCCCCCCAGCAGTTTTTCAACTCTAAAGGACGTTTCAGGTGTTTATGGCTTAGGGATGCTTAGGGGTTTTAAAATTTGTGGCTTTTCGGAATTAGTGTTTCTGTAGGCTTTAGATGTTTTCATGTCTTTTTCACGAGGGCTGAGGGGTTTAGGAGGTGGAAGGAGCAGTGTTTTTTTTTTTTTTGGGCTTCTCTTGCTTGTCTATGTCTCGCCTTCATTTTCTGTTGATTCATTTCTCTCGCTCCTCCCGCCGAGACGCCCTCGACCAAGAAGCAGCACCCTCAGAATCCAAATGGGTTTCGAGTAAAAGAAATGTTAACCTCATGGACTGTAGAATAACAGACTTGCCACCAGAGGCAAAATCCAACAAGCCATCCGCAGGGAAGAACAAAGAAGAGTGAACGATGACAAATGGCCGGCTGCATCTGAGGAGGCATACCGTTTTCTACAAGAGTTGGACCAGATGGAGCTGCTTCCGTCGGAGGGTGACTAAGCCGAAACTCTGCTCAGGGACACGAGATCTTGGTTGAATTCATCTTCGCGTTGACATCTGCGAGAAACAGTATGAAATACAAAGGATGCCCATGGCCCATAGCCGTACCCAGCAGCCCCGCAATGTTGAGAGAGACGGTCAACTTTTCATGAATCTGAACTGGTGTCTGGCAGGGCCTGATGCTGTGGAGGAGTTCCTTTCAGACTGGCTCGGAAAGGAACCTGCCATCCCGGGCTGGGGAAACTTCGCTCAGATAGAGCTGCTCGGCTGATCTCATGGCACTTTGCGCTCGTCCCTGTGCAGAAACCGGTAGGCTCATGGGCCTCCTTGTTCATGATCTTGATTAGCTTCTCTTAAGCCATGTGTCTATGTGCCTGGCAAACTCAGCCAGGAGAGACACAGACGATGATGGATGGGCAGGGCGTGCCCCCGTGCTGAATTCTTTCGTGAGGAGGCAGCATGGCAATCATTCCTGTAGTCTTGCACGCACGGCAAAAGATGCAGCATGCTTGAACGTAAATTCTGCCAAGGCACGATGCGGCAATAGAGGGACTTGTCTCTGAAGGTCGTGGTTTCACTAGTGTGTGCAAAGTCTGTCTGCGTCCACTAAGATGACGCTGCAAGGATCAGTTGTGATCTTTCGTCTGCTGCAGCCAAAGCAGGGCTTTGGATGGGGCATCGGTGTCTCGACTGATCTGCCGTGCGCAGCCGGGCAGTGCTCGAGTGCTCGGTTTCCGCTTTCAAAGCATCCAAGGCCATGTGGTGGCGGTGCAGGTGAACTACAGCAGGCCGAGTACAAGTGACCCGACGTGATGGTGCGTCAAAGATCCTGTAGGAATGGGCCCAATGGCCTGCTCCACATCCAGCCCATGTACCTGCGTGAAAGCAGGAGCATCCGACTCTGTTCAAGTTTAAGGGTTCAAATGGTCGTGGTGGCAAGTCTCGGGTTGCTCTCATTTCTCCATGCTTGGATTTGTTTTTGCGAGATATTTTCTTATGCACTCAGACGGGGCACAGAGTTCAGGCCTCTGCTTGAAAGAGGTTCGGTGCTTGGACATCAGTCGGACATCATGGGTTTCATGAACGGACTCGTGGGACCAGGAGTGGCGTTGCCGTCCTGGAGGATGATTGGGACGCTGACTCTCAGTTGCAAATATTTCTTGTATTTCTTCTTCGCTTGCATCTGTGACATGGGCCTCTGAGAGCGGAGGATATTGCCATCACGAGGGCGACCGATCGCCTCGAGTTGCTGGATGCACGGCTTCAAAGTGATGGAACCTTGCAGCTGGAGGACCCAAGCCGTGCACACACCCGAGCAGTGTCTCGTCAGGGAGATAAGCACAGTTCATCAGGCGCCTGATTGCAGCAGTTGTTGCAGTTCTTCAGGCGCGTGAGTAGCAGTTGCAGCAGTGGTATGATGTATGAGTAAGCATTCGCACAGTTTTGGAGGTTGGGGTTGCATGTTGAAGTTCCTTCTGTTTCTTCTGCTGCAGCACTTTATGCCATATCCTCCTGCTCGATTGTTTTCTCGTGAGAGCTCCCCTGCAAAACTGCAGCCGATCTGCAAAACAACGCCCACGACATCTTTGCAACACACGCACGCCTTTGCAAAACAGTGGGCTCATTCTAAGCACCACTTGCGAATTACATTGTGCAAGCTCGTGATTTCTTCTTTTCGTTCTGTGGCAACCCAATGATGTCATGATGCAAGTCTTCTGTTTTCAGGTGAGCTCCCAGATTCGCGTAACCGTTCGTGTGCATGGCACCCTTGGAAGCATTGCCTGGCATGCTGGTTTCGCCCGAGGTCCTTTCCGGCATGGTCCTTCTCGATGGCGAAGGGTAACTCACCTGCGCTCGCTTACAAGCCTCTGCCGAAAAAATGCGTGATGGGGCTGTCCTGCTACCAGGCTTGTTCATGAGCAGATCAGCATCTACCAGAACATGTAGCGACATGACTCTGCCATGTACAGGTTTCGCAGAAGAGTCACGGTCTTACTGACGCGGGAGTTAACAGGTGATCGCATGAGGAAACCCCGGTAAACCGACTGTCATCGCTTCACTGTGTAAGGGCAAAGACTCTTAGACATGCTGGCTAAATTGTCAGCTTCCATTTTACAGGATCTGCCAGAGCTGCTCTCTGTCTGGCTACCTGCAGACCCAGGTTAGCATCGTGGACGTCCGCATCGGCAGAGCCTCGTCGAATGAATCGAGCCAAGCAGCTACTCATGGAGGTGCCACCCACGGTCGGCTGTTTCCGCTTATGCACCTATTTCCATTAGACTTTCGACCGCTCTCACAATGCTGAAGACCATGAAGCTTCGCTTGGGTCTGCGATGGGAGGTCTGGACCTGGGTTGCAAGTGGGTGCAATGGCAGTGCAGAGCTCAGAGACGGTTGCATGTCACATTGTGATGCTGAAGCGCCGGCCATAATTTCTGACTTGCTTCGATATCTGCAGTTCACACTCTGCGAACGCTCTTCTGCTGGCTCACGCTGGCCGTCACGATCACGCCTGTTGTCAGAATCTCAGCTGTGCCACCTCCACGTTGAGCGAAGGGCATTCCCGTAATTAAGGCGTCGAGTGATGTTAGCTCATAGTGGAAGAAGTCCATAAGGCAGAGCAGGGAGCGCGACTGAGACCTGTGCACAGGCGGACAGCGGGGGCAATCTGTAGCTTCAAATATTCCGACTTCTTCAGACAGTAAGCAAGCTCAACCTCTTGGTGCAAGATGTGCCCCTTTGGGACTGGGGGGTACAAGACTGAGCGGAGTGTCTTATCAGCTCTAAGTTCAAAATACAATGCTTGACTTGTGCGTCCTTGTGCATCCTGTGCCAGTATCATAAAGTCGGGCCTTCAACGTGTGGATTCCGCCCCGGCTGCTGGCCGCGCCATCGCTGCAGCCAAGGTGGGTTCTGACTGCTTCTGGGTCCTGACATCCCAGTCTGTGCTTCATAATGTAGAACAGTTGGAAGAGTTCCAAGCCGTCTAAAAAAAGTCCTGGCGGTGCTGTGGCTGCACCATTGTTGCAGCACGTCTGTGAAGTAAGTTGAGTGCGTTTCGGAGTTGAGGAGTTTGCTGTAAGGCTTCGCGTGCACAGAGATCCACTTATTCGCACACAAATTTTTCTGTTTGATCATCATGCAAGAGTTCCAATCTGCAGAGAAAGGCCCTGATTCTGAAAATGGCTCTCTGCCTTCTGCATTTGTCTCTGCATCCTCGGCTCTCCACCCTCTGTCCAGGATTCTCCAGGCTCCCAGAACTGAAAAATGGCCCTCTGTAAGCCAGTAGCCGCCCTTCACTCACCAGGTTTTTTTTGGTTCACTCCGTGTTTCGTAAGCATCACGAACTTCTTTCGTGTGGAGCCCCTCCTTTGCCGCATCCTTCTGCGCAATAAGGCCCTGAGTCCATGAGCAATGATGCACTTTACCCGAAAAACGAAAAATGGTTTCCCTGACTGGGCCTGATTGGGGATGTTGGGTGGTAAACATACGGCACTTCGAAGGCCTGGACATCTGCGCTTTTTCTTCTGGACAGCAGCGCCGAGGCGAAGTAGGGATTCCAGGACATGTTACGCAAGGCTTTCTTTTGTGGCTGGGGCCCTGAGGAATAGGTTCTAAGTTCTAACAGATCTTGAGCTCGCAGTGCCTGGCAGGCCTGGTGGTGGCTCAAAGGCATTCGAACCTCTTCGCAGGCTGAAAAAATGAAGCAGGGATATCCCTGGGCATCAGTAGCAGGTGAACGATAGTGCTCTTATCGCTTTCCCTTCGTCTGCCAGCGCGCAGCAAATTCTTCCGGAGCAACTGTAGTTCTTGATGAATGTCATTTACGTTTTCATTTGTTAGACTGTTAGACAATGCATTCATGAACTGATTGTTCATTGTGGCTTGTATTGATCGAGTTGTTGACAATTCATGCACTATCCGCTTGCTTTTGCTGAGCGGATTCCCGTTGCAGCGGCATTTGTTTTTGTCACTTGACGATCCACTTATTCAGGCGCCGAGCCCATGGACTAACAGCGAGGACGGCGGAGTTGGGGCCGCCACCTTGTTGTGTGAACATGCTTGTGTAAACTTCCGATTATAGAGGGCGCATTCAGAAATGCTAATGAACAAAAGCATCATCAATGAATGTCCGTTGTGACAAGGTCGCCAATGCCATGTACGGCAAGCCGGAGGATGCATGGCAGCAGGCTTGCAAACGGATCCTCGCCACGACATTGCGCCAGTGCCATCCCTGATCCAGCATGGCACTTACTGTTGTTCTGTAGGGTGAAGACCCTTTCGATGGTGTCCGAGCCTCAGTGCAGCATCGCCGTTCTCTTGCCACCACTATGCTTAGAATGACCGAGTCATGGGTAGTTGCTCAAAAAAGGTCGTTCTAACATTCTAGTACATTCTAAGACTCTGCAGCCGGGTCAGCTGCATTCTGTTTAGAGTCGCTTCACACCAAGAACGACCCAACAGCAGCAACCCTGGAGTTTGACACGGAGCTTGACAAGGCTAAGCCGGCTACGCCGCAAGAGCCTTGAGCATCCTTGAGCGCTACTCTCGCAGAAGCTCTTTACCGTCTATACCATGTCGCTGCTCCGAATGGCTGCAGCAGGAAATTGATGACGTTCTGAGGGCTGTGGCTGCCCAAGGTTGATTTGCTTGGGGGGCATGCCCTTGCATTCCCTGACGTTCATGAGGATTCATGGAGAGGGAGAGAGAGAGAGAGAGAGAGAGAGAGAGAGAGAGGACGAACTGAGGTACTGGGCGCGCCTGTGCGCGCGGGGGGCCCCCGGGTCCCTCAAGCCCTGTAGAAGAAGAAGAAGAAGAAGAAGAAGAAGAAGAAGAAGAAGAAGAAGAAGAAGAAGAAGAAGAAGAAGAAGAAGAAGAAGAAGAAGAAGAAGAAGAAGAGAGAGAGACAGAGAGAGGATTCCCTTCGGGGATCATCCGATAAAATTGGAACGATACAGAGAAGATTAGCATGGCCCCTGCGCAAGGATGACACGCACACACGCAGAATACACCCCGCGGGGGCCAGGCCAGGCGAAACATGGATGGACGAAACGCACCCAGGAGGATCGGAAGGCCAGACTGCTGCCACGGAAGGAAGGGGGCGGCGTACCAAAGACGACTCGGAGGAAATGCTCAACCGCCACAAGCAGCCTCGGGACAGCACCGAGCCCGGCACCACCCACCAGCAACAACCACCACCACCAGACGGGGGAGCAGCTGAACAGGTGGAACAGCCCGCGCCCCCCATGCCAGACGACACATACACCCTTCCACTAGCCCCAGAACTGCCGCTCCAACCATACACGGAGCTCCACGCCACACCATACCTGTCCGGGTATTGGATCACGGTCTACCCACCCACGCACGAGCAGGACGAGGCGGCAAACCAACAAGCGGCAGCCCAGCTAGCTGGGGGCAACCCTACACTAGGCATGCCCCCCCTGCACAGAGGGGTACCTGTTCCAGGATGATCTGCAACCGTACGCCTGGAACATGCACATGGAACGACTGGTGGCAGGCAGACACCCACCAACAGCAGGAGCCATCTACAACCACCACCACCGCTACCGCTGCCACCACCACCGACACCGCCACCACTATAGACACGATCACCGCCGAAAGCCCCACAGCGGACGAGACCACCACTGCAGCCTGGACGCAGACCAGCCAACCAAAGCACCAACAGCCCTGGAGCTCGTGCAGACCAGAGCGTCTAAACACCACAAGCTCCCATCCGCGCAGGACCGGGGACAGAAACCGACTAACAGGGGCAAGCCGAGGCGTAAACCCAAGACCAGCACAGCCAAGAAACAACCCCTGCGCAGAGAAGCCAAGGACACACCACCTGACCATTACCGCCCCAGCAACACTCCACCGCTGGATCCCCAGGCCATGTTACCCATCGACAGAGCACTATACCACATAGACATGGCGATGGCGGACATCAACCCCAGCAACGGCACAGACGCGGCAGCCCACCTCCTAGCGTGCAAAGAAACCCTCCGAGCAGCGGCCAAGGGGGGAGCACACTAGCGCCACCACCACAGCCGCCCACACCCCACACCACGCACGAAACAAAGGGGGCAACGTGCCAAAGGCCCAAAGGGGGGAGCCGGCGACAGACGCGCGCACCAGCCCAGCGCACCCCCCACACACCCTACCGAGGGCCTGGACGAAGCAGCCCGACAGATCCAAAACCTTCTGGAGGCCACACCAGACACACCCGCACCAACCATCGCACAGAACTTGGCAACCGTCCAAGAGCTAATGCGCAGAGGGGTGCGCCGCATGAACCAGGTGGCGAGAGTCACCGACTGGCAGGTCTGGGGGGGGGGGGGAAGTTGCCGCGGACGTGGGTCTCGAGCTCACCACACAGGCACTAGCCACACTGAATCAACCGGCCCAGCAGCAACCACCCGCACACAGCAGGCAAGCACACCACAGCCTGCAACGAGCCCTCCGGGAGATACTCACCCACATACAGCAAGCTCGAGATGCGCACGATACAGTCCTTGCAGCACTGCTCTGGTCCCAGAACCCTGCCCAGGAGCAAGAACCACCCACACTACCACCACGACCGACACACGCGGTGCCGACCGCGAGCCCATCCGCGCACCCAGCGAATGTGCTCAGGCTGAACAACGGCTGCCAAGAAACCCATGACAACAGACCAGACCGACCCACCAACAACGGGGGCCTACACCGAGCCAGGGGATTGTTGTGGCAACTCATCCCCTTGGCTCTGGGGGCTATAGACGAGTGGTTAGCAGCACAATGGCGGGAGCCGGCGTTCACAGTGGACTCCCAGACACAAGGGTGTTCAAGCCCACACCCGGACAACACACCAGACACTAACCCCTGGCACCCACCACACCCCAGCACACAACCACCGCCACCTCACCACCACCACTTTCACACAGGACACACACCACGATCGCCGCCGTCGGGGGAACACAGAGAGCCCACAGAAGAGTACGACGCCGTGGACCACCGCTACCAGAAGACGTGGACTCGCGAAGAAGGAGAACGCATGAGGGGGCTAGTAGTGACTGAGGCATAGGCTTTCGGCTGAGAGCGCGGGGCACAGAGGGGGGATTGACCCGAGCAGCAGGTGTCTTAGTGGGATTATGGGGGCATCGCAAGCTTACTTGGGGGGCAAGCCATGGGGGAAGAGGGAGGGGGGGGGGATCTTGAACCCCGGCCCGCGGCTCTAAGGCACTGCAAGGGGGATCACAGGCAAACAGGCCCTGGACCCCGTACTTTCACCCAGAGTGGCCCGTGAAAAACGCGGAAGTCACACCCAACAAACCGTGGACTTCGCGCGCCCCTGGGGGCGGCCTTCTCCTTCGGGAGGGGGCCAAGCGTGCAGAGAGAGAGAGAGAGACAGAGAGAAAAAAAATAAGTAAAGAAAGAAAGAGAAAGAAAGAAAGAAATAACGAGAGAGAGAGAGAGAGAAAGAAAGAACGAAAGAACGAAAGAAAGACAGAAATAAAGAAAGAAAGAAAGACAGAAAGACAGAAATAAAGAAAGAAAGAAAGAAAGACAGAAAGACAGAAAAAAAGAAAGAAAGACAGAAAGAAATAAAGAAAGACAAAGAAAGACAGAAAGACACGAAGAGAGACAGAGATAGAGAGAGAGAGAGAGAGAGAGATAGAGCGAGAGAGAGAGAACCCACCGGCCAAGCTGGTGCACAGTTGTCCGCGAGACGCAGACAAGGGCGCGCCTTGCGCCGGCGCTGCGGGGCGACCCTCAAGCCTCAAAGAAAGAAAAAAACGGTGGGTGAACCCGGGAGCCCCCCAGGAAAGCAAACAAGAAAGAAGGAGAGTGGGTGAAGGGCTTCGGCCTGGATCCTCTCATCGCTGAGAAGAAGAAGTCTAAGATGGAGAAGACAATGCAATCCTTGCCCAGATACGGAGGAAGGGCGAACTGCCCAGACCCCATGACCTCAGAAGAAAGAAGATGCTGAATTGGGCGTGTTGTCAACTCTGAGGCTTGTGAACAGGGGAGTTCTCTTAAGGGTCATGGTTGGTCCTGGTTTGCGTGGCTGTGCATCCGAGGATGGCGGCCATGCATTCTGAGCGCTATCTTTGCAAAAGAAGGGCCTCTTGGAGTTTTTTTACAGTCGTGAAGTAAAGCCTATGCACGCACAGCCCTCGCAGAGCAGCACACCCAGCTTGAGCCCACATGCCCGAGAGTCGGAAGATAAATCGTTACGTTGCCCGCTTTGCCTTGCGAGCCTGCACTTTGCGGATAGTAGATATTTTTTTTGCGCGTCTCGGCTTGCTGCAAAAGTCGCTGCGATGCTGAGACATTTAAAGGACCTGCAGAAACTGTGGGTCCCCCCGCAAAAGGAATACGAGGAAGACCAGCCAAGCCCCTTGCACGTTAGATATCGTGAGATACCTCCTACCTTGAATGGCTTATGTAACAGTATTTTGTGTAGACTCAAAAAATCTCGTAGAGTAAGGGTATCAAGAATGTAGAAGACCAGAAGTAGGAGGCTCTGGTCTGGCTCGAGTTGACGAGTCCTCAAGAGACCTCGGCTAACTGCCAGGTCTCTCTGAATTCTGAGTTCTCGGGCCCGTGCCGGATTCAGACGGATGCCAGGCAGAGGCCCCGAATCATTCCGAGTAGCCGCTATGCAGAAGATCTCGGTCCCCAGGGAATGCAGACGCCATCCTCCAGCTCCAAAGATTCAAAGCCATTTCGGCACAAAGGCCATGAAAGCCACATGAGTCGATGTCATCTGGATGTCATGTTAGGCCTCAAATGATACCGAAGGCTGAGGTTGTCGACGACGGCTTCCATGAGAGTGAAGCCGACTCAACCTATTGAAGTTCCTCTACACCGCTTCGGGGCTCCAAACCTTACGCAAACCCGAGACATGAGATGCAGCAAGGGATTTCCAAGAGCACCAGCGAGCCAGCAGTACTGCAAGATACTGCAAGTGAAGTACAGCACCATGGCTATAGTGACCTTGCAGTCAGGTGTACCTGTAATGCCCTTTCGGGTCTGAGCCGCTAGCCGCGAGCCATGCCCTCTGATGTTGGCTCTGAGAGATCGGATGGTCACAGCGAGGCTCTCCCGTGATTCCTTTTACGAGGGGATGAGAGCGATTTTGCCTTCACAGGGGCCCTCTCGTCGCCAGCTCCTGGCCGCAGATGGGTAAGGATCCTAGATGGCCCAGATTCGCATCTCCTGAGCGCCTGCAACAAATGTGTGCGGCGCAACAGGTTGTCCCTGGAAGCCGACCTCAAGCAGCTGAAGAGGACCGTTCTGATTCCGACACTTAGCCCATCTTGGGGCGTTTTTTGGCTGCAGGACAGTGGCCATCGCCAGCCTGAGTACCTTTTGCCTGGGCTACAACACTGCTATTGTGGCGGGGGCGCAAAGCGGCATCCATCAGGAGCCCAAGCTGAAACAACTCCGGAGAGTTGGCCGGAAGAAGATTAACAAGAAAACTAAGAACCAGAACCAGAAGAAGAAGAAGAAGAAGAAGCAGAAAAAGAAGAATAATAAGAATAATAATAAGAAGGAGAAGAAGAGGAAGAACAAGAAGACGCTGGAAAAGGTGAAGTCTAGCAGTCCAACAGTCTAGCGCTTGAAGTAGCATGGATCAATCTGCACCGCGGTCACAATAGGAGGAATCCCGTCTGTTTACTTGCACCATGTGCTTACCTGTGGCTGAATCTATGAGGATCACTAGACTAGCGATTTGACGAGACAACTCTCGTGAGCTCGGCCCCACCTTAAGTGTTTCATCTGTGTACCCCTTGTGGACATTGTTCTGTTGGAGGATACCAGCTTTGTGCATGGCGGCGGCCTTGCCTCCGGAGCCCGGTGCTTAGACTGCTGACCTTAAATGTTCCTTCAGGCATCCCAAAACAGAGTTTATGCAGCTTCAACGTGTGCCGGCTTGCCGAACGAGAGCTTTTCCGATCCCCGCTCGTCCGCTCTTGCATCTAGTGAATCTAGTGGGTTGTGTCGCCTTCCGTTGAAGAGGATGCTAGTTAGTCGGTCTGGGGAGGACGGAGATGAAGCTGGACTTCGTGCAAGTGCATTCACAGACATGGAACACAAACAGACCTCAAAATGAGGTTCGGGGACCTGGAACCAGTCGTGTCAGTATAAGCTTTGCGTGAGTGTTGGGGTTGTGGTGCACTCTGATGCACTGGGCTTGTTTGTTGCGCAAAGGTCCTTGTGAGCTCGGCGCTGCCGGCTGCAGCACTGGGGGCACTCGGTGGCCAGGACTGTGCATCAGAGGAAGGAAGACGAAAGGGACGAAAGTCATAGCAGCGACCCGCCTCGGCCCGAGCTCGTGGCCACAGCTTGTGGCCACGGCTGCGGCGAGGCAAGGTCGCCGCTTCCAGAGTAATTAGCCCAAGGCGGGGGAGTGAGTTGGGAGAAGGCAGCGAAAACATGTGAAAATGTGCACGGGCGGAGGGGAAAAGGGAGGGGAGAGGGCTGGGCTGGCCACTGGGGGTACTGTAAGGGGGAAGGCAGAGGCAGGCACATGTTCAAATCAAAGCGAGAACAGATGAGAATAGAAGTGGATCATGTGGCAGTTTGAGGAGGGGAGGGGTTGGAGGGAGGGGTTGGGGGGTTTAGAGGTGGGGATGGCGGAGGCAAGTGCCCTGGTCCTGAGCACAGAGCACCGTCCGCTCGCAGATGGCCCTTGGGCTGAAAGGGTATAGAAAAAAAGACGCCCAACCTCGGCAGGAGATTAGAGGTGGGGTACCTGCTTTATGCTACCCATACACCTACGGCCCGAGGCCTCGGAGGATTAGGCGCAACTTTCGGGCCCTTCTACTGTTTTCAGCACATCTGCAATCAGCCTCACGAGCCTCCTGCTAAGTCAACAAGTACCAGTCATCACTGGTCAAATCATTCAAAGGGAAAGAGGAAGAGTTGCTGTTGGGACATCACGTCACAAGCCAGGAGATACACCATCCCAGCATGGAACAATAGAAGCGAGCGGCTTAACTTTGGCACAGCGGTCTAAGGAAGCTATGTCACCAGAGACCCGAAGAACCCATGCCAAGACCTTAGAATGATTTCGAAACTGTCTCGAACAAGTGAGTCCGGACTGATTTCCGAACCCAAATTGACTTCATGTGTCTAATACCTACAATATGTTCAGCAGCGACGCAGTGTTTGGACAAGATTTGTAGAAAGACATCTTTGAATCTGCGAACAAATACTCCAACAGTCATCTCGTGATCACATATCCCTTTAAACAGGCCATATGTCGCCACAAATTCAACTGCAAGGGCCACCCACTCCAGTCTATGCTTAGTCCCCCACTTCCATCGGCCATCAGTAATAAACGCGGCAAAAGCCGAAAGTGACGTGCAGGTTGCCAACTTGGTAGGCCGTCGCAAAACGCTGCTCGCGGTAGCCGGCCTTTTCGCGCTGGCTCCCCTTGCGACTTGGAGACCACTCTGGTCACTTTGTTCATTTTGTAGTCCCCAAAACCCCATAAGGAATGTTTCTATTGGTTCTGCGGTTCAGGCTGCTTGAAGTACTTGGGTCAGGCAGCAGGATCTCTCAGACTTTCAGACCATCTCAGCTTCACAGGGCGAACGGAAGGCCCCAATGGCTTCAGCGCTCAGCTCGCCTCCTTAAATAGCTTTGTGTCCAAGCTGGCACCTTGCCGGAAACTTTGAGAAGCCAAGGCTATGGCCGCCGCGCCCTCCTTCTTCCTCCTGCTCGTTGCCAGGCGAAGCAACGCAAGCACTGCAGATTTGTTTGCATGTCACGAATGCTAGCCTCTGAGGGCTAGCCGAGTTCCTTATCAAATGTAAGCTTGCAAGAAGGGGTGTGGGATATGGGCCCCCCAAATTGTGGCCAAACGTGACTGGGCCTTTTCAGCCAGACTGCGGGGCATGCCGGGATTTGGGGGTTTGTCCCGCGGCCCCGTTTTCGGGGCATAGAAGGTAATGCTTTGAGGGGAGAAACAATACCCCAAGGATGCTCATGATGCTTGTTTATCCGGCCGGGCTCCGATAACCGTGTTCTTGTGCCTCCGTCTTCATTCCAAAATGTGAGCTACCGGCGCTATCGGTCCTCGTCCCCGTCCCTCCTCCTCAAGTCGTGAGGTCTCTCTGCGGGATTTCAATTGGCGTCTCCTCCGTTCTTACGAACCTCTACATCACCGAGGCAATTTCGACAGCTGCTAGGGTGCGACATGCAAAAGTACTACTTGCGTGCTGTGAAGTTCTCAAAAGCTGCTCAAGGCATTTCGATGCAATTTGTTGAAGACTCCTGAACTTGGTGATCTCCGAGCAGGTAAGTCCAGCCGTTTGCCGCGGGCGCTTGGGCGGATGGGCACCCTTCATTGGCACCAGCGGAATTCTTGTATCTTACATCGTGCAGCTCGGCCGTCGAGTCCAGTTCAGATGTGTTTTGATCATGTCATGATATGTCACGTGTGGGTCCCCGCAAACATCGAAAGGCTGCTTAAAACGCTTCTCAAACCTTGCGGTGCTTTGTATAGCTTTGCGCAGGTCCTCGGCTCTGCAGGCTTTTCCAAACCAGGCCTGGAGATGGCAGTTCGGCTTGGCAGCGCCATCCTGAGAGAGCAGTCAGAGTCCTCTTCGAACTTGGTGGGGCACTTTTCAGCACGTCCTCCAGTTTCCTCCAAGGTGCTGCCTGCGCTCTTGCAGCTGTTGCTGAACCGGCACTTGCCAGAGACTCCGCGCTGGCTTCTGGCGCAGACGCGCAAAGAGGCAGGGAGTGGTGTTGCGTCGGAACGGCCGACTGTGACTACCCAACGTGCCTGCCAGGATGCACGGCAATGCCTCCAGCAGCTCTTTCCAAAGGCTTCAAGTGCTAGACTCCTAGACTTAGATCAAGTGAGTCAATTGAGTGCAAGTTTGACATGCACATCACCATGCACATCACCATGCACATCACCAGAATGTGCTGGCAGGCCGCGCAGAGCTGCATCGAGGAGGAGTTATCCCGATTAGAAGTCACCTTCCTGGCATAGCCAGAAACAAAGTGATGTTTATAAAGTTTCTAGTATACTTCGGTCCTGCGCGGTGCGATTCGCAAGGCTGACCTCGGAAACACGGCGGAGGTAGCGGCGGTGAGTTGCGTTGGCCTCTGCCATGCAGAGCATCGAGCCGCTGGGAACAGACATAATTCTTAAAGAGATGGCAACTGCGGGAATTTCCAAGGAAATTTACTTTCTGCGTTGTGCTGAACTGCATCGAGGCCTCTACAACCGTGGGTGCGGCCATCAACGTTCTCCAGCAAGTCTCAGGCATCAATGTCTTCATCTACTTTGCACCTCAGCCTCTTGACCGAAGAAGGTTGCGGAATACAGAACGGCTGTGAGGAGGCAGTTGTTGTCTGCATCCTGATCTGTAGGATCTTGGAGGATGCCGGGTTCGGACGATACTCCATGATCTCCACTGTGTCGCTTGAAATGCAGAGAAGCATGAAGCATGGCGTGTACAGTGTACAGTGCGTATCCAGCCAAAGATATATTCTACCATCATCTACAATATATGACTAATATGAGTCCCGATTTTTCTGTGTCGCGTTGGCCTCGCCGTGTGCCACATGTACAGATGGCGTGAGGGCAGGTTGCTCCTGCGTCCTAGGCTGGTGAGTTTGATCCAGCTGACTGCCACAGCAGCACGGGGCTTGGGCCGTGCTCACTAGCCACGATACGACCGACACGAGGACAATGATGGGGTGCCCCTGCCAGGTGCTGATCCAGTACATTGATCGGGTCGGGAGGCGCCCACTGGCTTTGATTGGCCTTGCCGGGATGATGGCCGGCTTGCTGCCTCTCGTCAAATCTCAAAGGAGATGCAAGGAAGAAGCTGAGCAAAAGCTGAGCAAAAGCTGAGCAAAAGCTGATCTGGAAGCACGGAAGGCGCCCTGTGCTCCATGGTGGTCCCGTCGCAGCCGAGGCTTGTCATCGCAGGATCGGTGCAGCGTGGAGCCGGGATGGCAGTGGCGGTCACGGCCTGGGCCTCGTTCCAACCAGCGCCAGCGCCGGCTGTCGCTTTGTCACTGAATCGCCGGTTGTCTCGCCGAGGCCTGGTCTTCCCTGCTGGGCATGCTGCTGTTTCGGGCTGCCTTCTCACTGTCCTTGGGCCCGTGGGGCCCCTGAAGGAAGGGCTTGGACTATGCTGCCAAGCATGGCGGGTTGCATTGTAAGGCTGCCTTATGTGATGACCTCCGAGTTCTTCAAGCAGGAGGCCAGGGCAGCAGGACAGAAGGGATATTGTTTGCAGCCAATGAATCGATAAGTAAAGAAGACGTGCCAACAAAGAACAGACGCAGAGGAAGTGGACATGTGCACTACGCATGCAATGAGGAAGAGGTGCACTCATGGCTTGAGTGACATGTCACGCAGCAAATCTGCCAGTGTCGTGGTGTACCGAGATTCTCAGACCCACGGTCTGTGCGAAACCTGTGGGCGTCGGATGCGTGGCTTAGTGTGTCGTGAAGTTTCAGTCTTTCAACACAATGCCCCAGCCCTGGCCCAGCCCTGAGTCCCAGATCCCAAGCATCCAGGGGAAGACAAGTGGAAAGGGTTGGGAGAGAGAAACCCTCACACGATTCCCGAGGGGGCGACTTCGCTCCCGAATGATTGTTAAAGTCACGCACTTGAGGTGCTTCTTAGGGTTGCATGTAGCGTCTGGGATTGCAGGAGTCGGCGCCTGCTGGGCCATGAATTGGCTGGCCAACTTCGCGGTTTCTCTGAGCTTCCCGGTGCTTGCGGAGGCGGCGAGCAAGTCGGGCCCAGCACCAGACATTAAGAGGCACTTGGCGTGGATTCCGAGGTTCAGATGCTTCTTGCAGGTGCTGCAGTAGCTGCTAATTCTTGGGTTTGGACGACACTTCCCGGCAAAGTAGCTTGTGGACAGACCGCATAGCTCATCGTAGCTCCATTCCGCCCGCTTCCATTTTTTGTTTTCGTATAGCTCCACAAGAGCACACTGAGAGAGCACTAAAAACCGTAAAACATAAACCCTAAACCCTAAACCCTAACTCTCCACAGCTCGACATCCAGACAACCTGTTCTGTTGAAACATGTGAACTCGCCCATCGGACAACTGCTCTGCACATTGGCGCACGTGGGACATGCTGACACCAGCCTGCAATCTGGCAAATCTAGCGCTCCATCCGAATGGCAGCGGCCGCTGAAGTCTTTGAAGTGGTTCGCATCTACTGGCCGCTTTTGCTGGGAAACGTGCTGGAGTGGTATGAGTGTCTTGGACCTACTTTGTGAAGTTCTGTCGGAGTTGCCGCCTCACCTGCCATTCGGGTCTTTAGAGTGATGTGTTCAGATTATCCCAGCCTTTTGCAGCAGATGATGTTTTTCAACTTTGGTAATTAAGATTCCCGGCAATGCTACAAAACGCAAGGTTTGCAATCTTCAGCTTTCTGGAGCCATACTTCCAGATCAACTTCTTCAATGACTCTGCCATTTCGACTTGGCGGATAGACCTCTTTGGAACAATTTCATAATGCGCCTTAGGGCCTTATAGGCTTAGGCTGTAGCAACAGGCGTGACGTGCAGTCCCGGAAACTTTGCAGGCTTGGATTCGCGTGCACCTTTCTTGCGCGCCCTTTCGGTGGTTTCTTCATTGGCGTGCTGGGCGACGTTTTTGGACGTAAGTTCTCTGCATTTGTGTCCATCTTCGGGATGCTCATCGGTCCCAAGGTTCACATTGATGTAATGTAGGGTTCGAAGATGAACTTTGAGACTCTTGAAATCATGGTCTTTTTGCACACAGTCCTGATTCTATCAAGTTGCCAAATTTAGACTAAAGATCATCTGAGGTACAGTGGGGCAGGGCATGGTGCCGAGCTATCGGCATGGCGACTTCGCTGGCCGCGTAGGTTTGGCCCTGCTGGTGGCGTTGCGGATTCTGCAGGGCATTGCCACAGGCAAGGGTGGATACAGCATTCACTCAGTATATTCACTCAGTAGTAACTCAGCAGTGCGCAGCACCCCGCAAGACCTCTGCAAACCTGCAAGCGAGGTGGAGAAATTGCCGCCGTCTCGACTTACATCACCGAGGTGGGCTCCCACCGAGTTTTGGCGAGGTCCATGGCTCTGCTCGGAGTTACTTGCAGCGTGGGCGTATTTCTGGCGCAGCTGGCTGGCTACCTCATTGTAGTCCTTTTCGGTACCTCGGCCATATTCGCCTGACCTGGCATTGCACTGCAACTTCATGCTTGCGCAGCCTGCTGGGACTGGGAGTTGCGTGACAAGTTGCGTGTATGCCAATTGCAGGTGAAGAGGCTGCAACTAACTGGGCTTGGCGGCTGCCCTTCCTCATTTCCATCATTCCCGGGCTGATTTCGGCACGTGGTCGTCGAAGCATGCCTGAGTCGAAGGTGTTCCTGGACCAGTGCAGGGTGTGTAAGAGTACAGGCCCAGGGATGCCCCCAAATGGGCCCAAAAATGGTCCCCCCCACTGCTTAAAAAACCCCCCTTGAATCAAAAGCTGCCATCTGCGGACCCTGAGAGGCTCCGGCAGGAGCTTGGCTGATGCATCGTCGTTGCGAGCGGTGGTCGCGAAGCTTCAAGCTCTCTTGGCATCCAATCCTGCCTCTCTAGCCGTTGGAACCCTGTCTGTTGCTGGCTCAGCCATGCTGTCCTATGGTGGCTATGCCTGGGGATGCATATATCTCCAAAAAAATGGTGCCTCCCCCACGAGCTTGATTCTGGCCGGGGCGGTCGGGCGCTCTACAGCGATCCTCTTGGCGCCCCTCGTAGGCTGGTTGGCATGAACATCTGGGGCTGCGATGCCCGGGATTTAGACCTGAGAGCATGAAATCGTCCTTCAGGCTAAACCCTGTAAGCCCTGTAGGCTGGTTGGCAGATACACGAGGCTGGGCACACCACACCTGGTGACCAAGAGGGCAACGAAAAGGGGGGGGAGTACAGAAGGAGTCATCAGCCCTACGCTCGCCTCAACGCACCAAGAGTTCTGGCCCCTGACAAGGCATTGCGTGGAGCCAGTTCCTGGGCTCCTGCATGCTGGCGCTGGCTGGTGTCCCCTTCTTCTTTGCAGTCATACGGATTCTCGGTCTGGAGCTCATCTCTCTGCTTTTTGTTCTTCTCAGAGGCCTGATGCCATATTCAAAACGCCCAGACTTGGCAACTGGCACCTGCACCATCTGCACTCTCAAGTCTCAAATATTTTAGTGAAAGAGTTGCACTACAAGTTGCACTGTTGTGCGTGTGTGACGGGATAAGGAGCCCCGACGTCTTCGAAGTTGTCGTCTTGGCTTTTGGGCTCGGGTATGGTATTTTGTTGGCCTTTAACGCTATGGTTCAGCCTTTGTACATCGTCGAGCTGTTTCCGGCCTCTGTCCGAAATGTCGGTGTTGGGATGAGCTACAACATGGGCATGTGTTTGTTTGGAGGATTTGCACCCGCCCTTTTCGAGCTCTCGTTGGAGGTGAGCCCTGTTTTCCCTGGCGTTTTGCTCAGCCTTGCGGGCTGTATTCCGGCACTGGTTGTCCTTGTAAGCCTGAGATTGCAGGCCTGGGAAGTCTTGTGTTTGGCTCACATTCGACCAGTTCCCTACTTTGGACGGAAGCCCTGCAAAAAAAGTCAAAGCGACGACTCCCGGAATGTGGACGCGAACGCTACGGTGTGCAAGCCGTGCAAGATGCAGGACACGGAGCCTGGCACCATCTCAGGCGTGGTTGGATAAAGACAACGTTTCCATATCGACACATGGAAGCTTTTGGAAAAGTGCACAAAGATCCTGCTCCTTCAGAAGGGTGCCTTCGACAAGAGGAGCATGCACTCTTTGCTAGATCTTGTCGGGCCATGTTTGCCATGTTTGCCCGAACGTTAATGCCGTTAACACCTGCCACCTGAGCAGCTTGCTGACTCATGGCTGGGCCTGTATTGGCCCCTCACCTGGACCTAATTGAGTTCATCAGTGGACCACAAGAGCTCCCAAAATCAAGCGATCTCAACGGACCGAGTGATGGCAGCAAAGTCTTCCAACGTGTTGTAGTGAAGTTGTGTTTTGGCCAGGCGCTGCCTGGTGCCTACGGGCAGGCTGGAATCTTCTGCACCGTGCTCAGACTTTGCGGGTCACGGTGTCTGTGTGTCTGGCAGCGGTCTGGCGTTTACCTCCACGTCGGTCACGTGCAAGTCTTGAAGGCGGG